TTTTTATTCATAATCAAAATTCCACTACATATTTTTGAAGTTATATCATTTCATTTCGAATATCCCCATCTTAATAAACGTTAAAAATAAAAATATAATATTTTTAAGAAAAATACATTAATTCAAAAATATGTTTCTTTATAATGAATATTAGATCCTCCATGAAATAGTCAATACGATCAAATTTTCGTATTCCCCAGGCCCAAAATACCCCACGTGTAGTATTTCAGAAGGAACCGATATTTATCGTCATTGGAAACTGTCCCTCGCATAGAGAATTGAAAGATTTATGTCTTAGGACATAGAACCAAAATTACCTCAGCATGGCGATGCAATCCTCAAGAGTCATGCAACGTTGCTATTTAATATCATTACGCTCAAAGTAGTGGCGCAATCTCCCACTTGCACTGACAGGGTATGACCTCCATCAATTGCAAGTAAAAGATTCACAGCAGGGTGTGACCTCCACTGTAGAGACGCCATTATTGAATTTGCATAACTCTTGGTGATTGCATCTCTTACGACATATGGAACAAGCAAGATGCCCTGCCCCACGAACACGCCTGAGACTTCAAAACCCGATTCCAAACCGCATCTGAACATTGACTTCCTAGTTTCTCCAAAACAATACGACCATGAAAAGCAACAAAGACTGTAATGTAAAGGTAAAAGCCAGCCCAGCCCGCTCGAGAAGAAGCGGTTGCAGCGCATGGTCGGTGACCTGGACGGGGTACGAAGTTGTCAGGGGAAGAAGGGTTGAGGGTTTAGGGTTTAGGTTTCAGGGTTTCGACTTTAGGGTTTAGGGACCCTCGCTGATGCAAAAACTTTAAATTTTATGGGGCTCCGAAAGACGGCTAAACGGCCTAACCTGTCTCGGTCCACATCAACGTGAAACAGGCATCAAAACGCTCGACAACTGACGCCCACCAGAGCCCAAAACTAAAACCCTAAAACAACGTAGCACGCGGGCTGCTGTGCCTGTTTTTTTTTTTTTTGCAGGGGTGTTCTCAAGTTCACAAGTGCCAAAAACCTGGGTTTTTCAGCAATTCCGGTTTTGGAACCAGGAAGACACAGCATGTGTTTTTCATGTAGCACTAGCTGAGAGATTTCAATTGAGAACTAGCTTTTCTAAACCCTAAACCCTAAACCCTAAACCCTAAACCCTAAACCCTAAACCCTAAACCCTAAACCCTAAACCCTAAACCCTAAACCCTAAACCCTAAACCCTAAACCCTAAACCCTAAACCCTAAACCCTAAACAAACCCCAACAAAGCTCAGCGCCTGATGGGGCTCTGGTTCACCACCGTCTCGCCCCCCCCGCGCCAGGGCGTGGCAGAGCCGCTTTTGGGCTCCAGCTTGAGTCTAAAATCTGACAGAGAAGTAGGGTTTAGGGCTTCGGGTTTAGGGTTTCGGGTTTAGGGTTTTGGGTTTAGGGGGCTTAGGGTTTAGGGTTTAGGGTTTAGGGTGCAAGGCCAGGGCTATTCTCTGGTTCCAGAAGATCCAATGTCGTTAATATTGCCGTTCTTCAGCCCGTCCTGGTCCAAATCTTGCTTGTTCTAAGGTAATTTCTCTAGTGGTGCCCTGTTCGGGTGCTCGTTTAAAACGAAGAGAAGAAGCTATGTTCCCTGATATTCCTGGGTTGCTAGGGCGCGCCTTAACCCTAAAGTGCCCAACTTTTCGCTGATGAGGGTACCCAAGCCCTAAACCCTAAACCCTAAACCGTGAACCCCCGGCTCCACATGTCGACACCAGGGGTTCTGGTCTTGGACGTCCGGGTTCAAGGCTTAAGTTGGCCTAGGGTGAACCTCGGGTGTGAGGTTTAGGGTTTAGGGTTTAGGGTTAGGGTTTAGGGTTCAGGCTTGAGGTCCTCTTTGATGTGAACTTTTCGCAGGCTAAGTGCATCCTGAGTGTGTGCGTGCGTTTGTGGGCGCGGGGGGGGGGGGGGGGGGTAGGTGTCGTTCGGATGCAGGGTTCAGCGTCTGCTACTGATATCCTTCATGGTACATACTTAAATCGTTTTATTCTAGGGCCAAGTCCAGCTACAAGAAGGGCACCAAAGTTGAAGTAGGGTTTTCAATAGTCATAAATTCGCCTATACGTCCTATTATCTTGCTTCTGATTGGCCGAACTGAAGCTAGTATCGTCAGCGGCCCCCTACTTATGGGAGCCCTAACCTCCTTTAGGGTTTAGGGTTTAGGGTTTGGGGTTTAGGGCTTAGGGTTTAGGGCTTAGGGTTTAGGGTTTAGGGTTTAGGGTAACCCAAGCTCCCTAGGGTGGGAGGTCGCCACTATGCTCGCCAACCAGAACCTCTTGATCGAGACCATGCAGGCACAACCTCTGAACTCCGAACCCTGAACCCGAGACCCTTTTCCGCATCTCAGGTTAAGGAAGTTTTAGTGTTTGGGGTTTAGGGTTTAGGGTTTAGGGTTTAGGCCTTTCTGGCGGTTCTTGTTTTTTTTCTGCAAGTAGCTAACATCCAAGGGGCACCCTTACTGTAGTATGGTTTCTGTGCTACCAAGTATGAGTCTCATGCACCCTGCAAAGCTTTCAAGCTTTCTACACCTAAGACCTAGGACTCCTCTATACCCTGCATGTTAGAGGCCCTCGAACCCCAAATGCCCTAGAGGCTTCAACAAAAACCGCTACAAACCTCGACAAAACTTGTAGTTAAGACCTCAACCGAACTGGAAAACCCTAAACCCGACCAGCCCCACAAGCCCCAAACCCCGAGCCCCAAACCCGTATTCCCAAACCTACACATCCCAAACCTTAAACCCTACACACCCAATCTTTGCAACCGAGTGCTATTATTTTGCCATTTGGGGGTTCTAGGTTCCCTTATATACTGTATCCAACCCCAAAAAAAGGGTACGCTTGTTCTGACATGGTCGCTTGGCAAAATTCTGGTCCTTTCAGGCGGAAGGGGCGAGGGGGGGGGGGGGGACCCTAGTCTAGAGAACTGACCCTAAACTTTCAAAACAGTATCCCAAAAGGTTCATTCTTGTTCATTCCACTCATAGGGCTTCATGTGTTTGATTGGCCGTTTTAGATTCCATACTAATGTTTCCAAAGGAATGCAGATACAACATGCTTTTCTAAAAATGTTGATGGGAAGGTCTGGTCTCCAAGCGAGCCTTAGGCTGAATAGAAAGAGATGTTCAATTGAAGGAACACTCTCTCTGCACCTCTCACAAAACGAAGCTGGTGCCGTGTTTACGGCCCGGCTGGAAAAGGTCGTCGTTATCAGGGGATTAAAGAACCATCCTTCTACCAGGCTGCTGTCGTTGTTGGATGCCAAGGTCAAGCTGAACCCGCCGTACGCGGCACAGTTTTCAGTACTGAGCAGTGCTACAGCCCCTCTCCCTTAAACATCTTGTGTCTCCCGACCTCATCGTCGCAACTAGCCCACAGCCCGGTGCGGATGATCGTTCAAACGATCGCCAGTGTATCGACGGCGCAAGAGCTTTGAGCAAGTGTGCTCAAGATCGGACAGTGAATTTGTCGGACTATCTACGTCACGGCTGCTGAAGCCCTTTGACTCAGCAACATCGACTGGCTCCACCATTGATGTTGCAAGTGATTTGCCTGTTCATCAGGAGAGCGGCAGTCACAACTCACAAACAACCAACGGCACACCTAGGTCTTCATCCTTCGGGTTGCCACTGATCTTAATTCCCTGCCTTCAATGGCACATGGTGCCAGTAATCACATTTGGGAGCACATGCAGGATCGCTTTGTCACCGGCACCTGCCAGTCCGAGTCACTATGACAAGCTTATCAGGCCTAAGTGGGCCTGAGGTCTTAGGGTGTGGAGCCTCCGTTAGGACTCAGAAACAAAGCCCGCATCCACCTCTGCCTTTTTCGATCAATCAGATGACAACATGGGGCAGTTCTCAAAGAGTCTGACGGATCTAAGAAACGTGGCCGGATCGTTTGCAGGGTTGCGAACCCAAAACATGGAGACTGATGGAAGCAATTTTTTGAGGCTTGACATGTCTCTGTACACTTCAACCCTGCGCTGTGCATTGAAGAACCGTTTGGATTGAATGACAGTCCATGGCGGGCCCTGTACCACGCAGTTGGGGGTACCACGCGCTTATATCCATATTCACACCAATAGCCAGCATGTGTGCATTCATGAGCCCTTACCAAGCCTAAACCCTAAACACCCTGAACCCTAAAACCCTAAACCCTAAACCCCAAACCCTAAACCCTAAACACCCTGAACCCTAAAACCCTCAACCCTTTCTACCATCTGCCAGGTCCAGCCAATGCCTCGCTCAACTCCTCCACTAACTGCTCGGCAGTCGGCCGGAGCTTCTCGTCCACCTTGAAGCCACAATTACAATTTTCCCCCTGCTGGCTCAGAGAATATACGTAAAAAAAGAGGGTTTACGAAAATAGGGGACCCCTAATATAGATCCCCAAATAGTAGGATTCCCTTGTCACAAGAACCCCAATAAGGTACCCTTAATGTCGTCAACCCCCTAATGCTTCTCCTGAAACGTAAGGCCGGCGCATGCCAGGCGGAGGTCATGATGTCCCGCAGCTGCGAATGGCAATCAGCGATGACCGGCCTCCGCATTTGGGCTCAGCCAAATTAGATCAGCCTGAGGAGCACCGACCGACGACCTGCGACTTCCCCACGACCGGCTAGATGCATTTTTTCCGAGACCTTGCGTAACAAAAGCCGTGGCCTAGGTTCATGCCCTCGCAGGTATTCCTTCAGCACCTCAGCTTCTGATCAGCTTCTGCCAGCGGCCAACAAGGACTGACGCGTTCTTTGGCTGGACATCTGCAACTCCACGGCATGGTTTCGCTCAACTCAAAAGTGAAGTCAAGCTGTCCGACGCCAGTCTTTGCGGGAAAGTCGCCATCTCAGGATCTCTTCCTAGCTGATAGAAAGGAGCTCGCCCAGAGCTCATGAAGTACCTGAAATCTTCGACATGCGCACAGCGATGTGCCAGGGCAACATCATAGCCCAACTTTCCAAGTGTTCCACTCACTAGAACCAGTCCCTTGGCCTGTTGAAGCCCGGAAACTTCGCTTTACTTTACACGGTGGGGACCCCCAGCAGTGGACGGAATGCCTTCTGAGCCCAGAGTCACCCTGCCCAAAAGCCGAGCTCCCGGCATGATCAATGCAAAAGCATAGATGTCAACCTTCTCCTCATCGTTCCCCCAAGGTCGAAAAGCATTGAAACAGAGAGGCTTCTGTTTATTTATGATCCTCTGACACACTTGCACATATGTAGCCATGGCGCATTGTACTGCTCGTGCCTGCAATGAGTGGTTAAAGAGCTCTCACGCTACGCAGTGGCAGAGAGGCGCCTCGTGTCTTTGACTAGTCAGGAGCCAACTCGCGGAAAACTCAGATTGGCAACCAGAGCTCTTGATAGCAGACTAGGAGATCCACCTCTTTGGCCCGAGGCTGCTTCTTTCTCGGTGCAGGAAAGAAAATGTGCAGTGCAAGAAACTTCGTGAACCGAAATTTGGGATTTCGGACCAGATTCCTGGACTGGGGCGCAGGCCTCGCAGCAGGGTTTGGGATGCCATGATACCCCCTTTTCAATAACGATTTCGGAAGTACTGTGAAGTACTTGCTCCATTTGAGCATCGTTTTGCTTCAGTTTTTTTGAGGCTTCCGACACGCGGCACTGCTACTGCAATCCGGAATCCTCTGCCGCAAACAGATGCGAAGAGACTACTGTATGACCCCTCATCTGCGCCTGACAACCTCTGGCGCCATGTAAAGCCAGCTGCCAACTCCACCCGTCATCCTGTAGCTGCTAGTGTCGCCTTTCGTTGCCGCCCTCAGTGAGGAAGGGTTTAGGGTTTGGGGTGGTTGAGGGTAACATCCGTGATCCGTGAGGCAGAAACTTCTTCTGGACCACAAAGAAAAGTCGAGTGCGGATGAATGTGGCGCCACGCTGCATCACTTTGGAGATGCCCATGTCAGCCACTTTGACCTCCAGGTGCTTGTTCCTCAATGAACATCAACACAAGGATCCCGACGCATTGCAAGTCGGACATGGGTACTTCCCAACATTCCGGATTTTCTGGACCTTCCCACCTCCCCCCCCACCCAGAAAAAGAAAGGGCACCCACCATGTTTGAAAAACCTCAACACTCTGATAAAGAGAAACCAAAAAAGAAAAAGCCTCAGGCAACCCCAAAACATGTGGAGAAGTCCCCCCCATCCGCCTCCCCCTCCCCCAACTTGAAGAAAAACCCTACACCCCGAAACCCGCGACCCCCTCCCCCAAGTATGAGAGATGAGGTGCAAGAGGAGGTTGAGGGGCTTCAGGTCCCGGTGGATCAGCGGTGCCTCACCTGGTTCAGGACTTAAGGTTGTCTGCAAGCACTCTCTGCAAGAGCAGCATAAGGGCGTAGGGTTTAGGGTTTAGGGTTTGGGGTTTAGGGGTTAGGGTTTAGGGTTTAGGGTTTGGGGTTTGGGGTTTGGGGTTTGGGGTTTGGGGTTTGGGGTTTGGGGTTTGGGGCTTGGGGTTTGGGGTTTGGGGTTTGGGGTTTGGGGTTTGGGGTTTGGGGTTTGGGGTTTACTCGGCGCTATAGCAGCTGAGCGCGACTGCACTGTGAACCAGCACATCATCGGGACCATTCCCCAGCAGTAGTAGCACTACTGAGCGGCATCCCAATTCACCAGCCGATCCGACAGTTTCAACATGTAATCCCCGACACCGCGGCGTAACATGCCGCAACGGTGCACCCGGCTGCTACGTAATCGGTTTTCCGGCAGCCTTCAGTTCTTGAGTTTGCTGGGGAATCGTGCCCGCATTGTAAAATCGTGCCCGCATTGAAAAAGAAATTGCGGTGCGGAAGACACTTTTGAGTGGTAGGGCCTTGGCTTCCAGCGAAGCCGACCCTCCACCCAAACCTTGTCAGGCTTCCTTATGCAACGAGGCCCCCAAACAAACTCTGTGATAGGTGGCAGCCTGACTCTTGTTCGGCAGCCGAAGATCTCTGTGAAGTTGCAAGTGTAAAGTCTCATGCTTTTGTGAAGGGGCTTCGGAACTTGTGACGTTTGTGATCCTCTTTTTGTTGGGCCTCCGCTTTGAGTGATCAAATAGCTACAGCACACCACGAAGTACCAAAGCAGTCGAAGCTTAAGAATGCCAGGGTGGCGGTGGTGAAGGAACGCAAGCGCTCGGGCCACAGCCTGAGCACACTGGAGCAGGGATGCGCATCGCGCTGTGCAGTACCCCGGAGCCTTGCTAGAGGCGCTCTCTATGGCTCTATGGCTCTATGGTTTGTGCAGCGAGCGGAACACGGTCGAAACTCCTCAGCCCGAGCCGCAGAGCTCCACTCCAGGATCCGCCACAGCGGCGGACACCAAACATCCGTCATCTTCTCCCGGCGCTTGGCCTGGGATTGGTGTAAGACTTTGGACCTCCACTTGATCCACCTGCAAACATCACCTCATGCTATCTCATGCTTACTGTTGCTTCAGCCGGATGAGGACTCTTGACTGCTCACAGGGATGCACCCTCAGGGATTCCGGTTGGCGCGTGGGGAACCAACCGAGAAAGGAAAAGCGATGCTTCCTCTGCCCATGACGCCCTCTCTTCCAGACCCATGTTTCTGCAAAGAGCATGAAATGAGCTACAAGCTTGCTGCACTCGCTCCATGCATGCTATGTGCTTATGGGCCTTATTCGCCTACATACAAGAAGAGGGCACGGAGCCAAGTCTTTCCGTCAACAGCTCGCGAATGCGCACGAGCAGCGCAATGGGCCCAGTCCGTACAGCAGTGCAGCAGAGGTTCCATATAGTAGCGCTCGAGATCCCCACCAGGCATGTACTCGGTGATGCACATGATTGGCGCGTCCTGCTGTCTGCGAAGCAGATTTGCAAGTTCTCTTACTGCTGCGCAGCTTCTGCACACCGCGGCCCATGGTGAGAGTGCAAGAGAAGTGAAACTCATGCTGGCTCCTGATCCAAGCATGCCCCAAGAAACCTTGATTTTGCCGAAAGGCTCGGTTCTTCACAGAAAATGTGCAACCTCGCGCTGTGTCTCAAGTTGAAGTGCCAAGGTGCATGACCATGTCAGGATGTCGCTCGCTAGACATCATGTCAATTTCATGCAGCAGCTCTTCGATCATGGCCTCGGGCGCAAGCTTCGCTGAGGGCTCTGGGTCGAAGAGCCCAGCGCAAACAGCTTTTTCGTAGCTTCAAGGGCTTCCGAGATAAAGACATGTGCTGTAAAGGGCCAAATCCTGAACGACTGCCAGAAGTCGGGGCAAAGGCATGATGATCCTCAGCATCCAAACTGGTGGACTGCGTAGCGACCTTGCAAGGCAGGGGTCCCCAAGTCTGAGCTTCCGCCTCAGAACTTGAACCTGATTCGCAGCAGCACTGAAGCTCACGAACAAGCAGGAGCCGTCCGAGCCTGGTCCACTGGTGTCTTCCTGGAAAGGGAGTCGGAATAAGTCATGCCTACTGGCCACGTGATGGAGACAGAAAGGGTGTCAGCCTTGCGCAGCTCGGAAGCTTTTACAGAACCAATGAGTCTCCATGGTTGGGGCACGAGTCACGAACAAACAGAGGTTTCAGGAAAACTCCTGGAGTGAGCCCAGAAACAAAGAGGGGCGAGTCGGGAAAAACAGGAAGCATGAGCTCGGAGAACCGCAGGCGCGAGAGTTCGGAAAGGCAAACTGCCCAGGAAGGATTGGGAACCTTGAAACCCAAACCTGAACCCCCCCCCAGCTCAAAGACCGGGTTTAGGGTTTAGGGTTTAGGGTTTAGGGTTTAGGGTTTAGGGTTTAGGGTTTAGGGTTTAGGGTTTAGGGTTTAGGGTTTAGGGTTTAGGGCACAGCCCCAAACCAGAAAGCCCTGAACCCCAGCACCGGAAAACCTTCAAGCCGGCCCTGCCCCCGACAACCCTAAATCGAAAACCCAGAAGTCCTCAAGCCAAGAAAAACTGGACCCTGTTTAGGGGTTTAGGGTTTAGGGGCGAAGGTTTAGGGGTTTAGGGTTTAGGGTTTCGGGTTTAGGGCTTCTCCTGCTCCTAACTGCTGCTTTGCCTTTTTACGACTCCTCCTTGCCTTTCTGCTGCTGAGGCTTAGGGTTTGGGGTTTGGGTTTTGGGGTTTAGGCTTTCGGCTCCTGTTTCCGGACCCATCCTGACTCGTGATCTTTTGTCTTTCCCGGAGCCTCCCTTTGAACTAAAGGACAAGCCTCCCAACCATAAACCCTAAACCCCAAACCCTAAATCCTAAAGCCGAAACCCCCAAACCTCAAACCTCAAACCTCAAACCTCAAACCTCAAACCTCAAACCTCAAACCCTAAACCCTAAACCCTAAACCCTAAACCCTAAACCCTAAACCCTATGCAGCTGGGACACAGAAAACCCTTGGAAGCCACTGCCGCGCTGGAAGTTATCCTCTGGCGGGGTATGACTCTCGGAGAATCATCTCTGGGAGCAGAGCTGTGAGATTTGTTGGTATGGCTCATGCTTGAAGAAACTTGGCACGCTGCTGGCACATCGCAACTACGTCACGCATAACAAGCCTCTTGAGCTAGCCAAGAAGACCCCATTTCAGGAGTTACATGTAGCCCTTGGATTACCCTTGGTGAAGTTGAGAGATGCCTCGCACAAGACATGCCTCTGGTCGTAAACTGGGTCTCGGCCTCAGGCAAGGGTACTGGAGCGTGGCTGCAGAGCCCATCTCGACAACGAAGGTTGCACTTAAATAGGCGAAGACAAGGTGCGGCTCTAACAGCACCGAATTCCTGGCTCCCCCTGCCTTCTAAGCATAGGGTTTTGGGATTCAGGGTTTGCGATGAAGTAGAGCAGCTTGTGGTCCATGGCAACGGCGTACTCTGGCACCCTTTGAAACATGTGTGTACACACGAGGGAAGAGGGACAACGGACGGTGCTGTGCTGATGTCTGCACGAAAGAAGCTATCAACTGTGAAGACCGGACTCAACCCACTAGCAACATACACACTCGTCCAGCCAGCTCCTCCTGCCCGCTCCTCACTGCGTCAGCTGTCTGCACTGGCTGAGACCCAGGCGCATTTGACGACAACCTGTGCATGGTAGGCTAGAACAACCATGCCTGATGAAAGAGCGAAAGGCAACGAAAGACGGCAAACCAAACTGTATCATCGCTCAAAACACTTTTGCAGCAAGTGGTGGCCATGAATAGTTGCCAAGTGCCTCTGTTCCGCGCCACGTTGCCAGAAACAGGCTGCTTTTCAAAGTCTTGCTTAGCCTTGCAAAGATCATGTCGCAGCGAGAAGTTTAAACGTGGAAAAATGAAGCCCCGATTGGCTTGAAATTCTCAAAGACTGTTGCATCCGCTGGACTTTGCTCACATCACAGGTTTCGTGAGAGCTGATGCACCATTTGTACGGAGGTGGCAAATTGGAAGCGAGCAAACAGATCAGCAAACTCGGCAAGCAACTCCCTCTTCATGATGATCTCTTTTCGGTTGACGCGCCAATGCGCATCGACCGCTTTGGCGAACAACCTGGCGGCATCCGGCGAGTGACCAGTTCGACACCATGGAACACGACAGATGTAGGATTGAAGGCCTTCGTCTGAAGTCTTAAGTCCTTGAGACTTCGGGCGGGGGAACAGTGATGTCAGCAGTACACCCAGCCTGGCCAGAAGCTCAGCCTGCATGGCGCAACACAAAAGCATCCAAAAACTCAGTTTAGGGTTTGGGGCTCGGGGTTTGGGGTTTGGGGTTTGGGGTTGAAGAGTGAACCCTAAACCCTAAACCCTCTCAAACTCCACGAAAGTGGTTTTAGGGCCTCTCGCGCGCTGGAGGTCACGCTGCCCGCGGCATCTGACGGAACTCGGACCATGGACCGGTCATCCTCCCAAGATTCGGCAGGTTTTTACGGTGCAGGGTTTAGGGTTTAGGGTTTAGGGTCTAGGGTCTAGGGTTTAGGGTTTGGGGTTTGGGGTTTGGGGTTTGGGGTTTGGGGTTTGGCGTTTGGGCTTTGGGCTTTGGGCTTTGGGGTTTGGGGTTCGGGGTTCGGGGTTTGGGGTTTGGGGTTTGGGGTTTCAGGCATCATGAAGACGTACGTAGTGGTTTGCTGACCATCGGAGGTGCTGTGTGTGTGCGTGTGTTCCAGCCTCCAGCTCCATGCCAGCTTGCGACTCGGCTGCCTGAACAACTTGGGTCCCAATGCATCTTGTTTCAAAAGCGATGCCATGGGCTTTGCGCAGTACATAAGGGTTTGACCTACATCACTACGAGCACGTTCGCCTTCAAAGCAACTCGGCATAATTTCCTTGGCCCTAGTGCTAAAGACTCTCATTGGCATGCACAAGACCTTCACTTTCATATCTGGCCAGCCACGCGCCTTGACCAAGGCAATTGTCTCCTGGCTGTGTTCAACCTGATCGGGAAGAAGGTGACTTACACAAAAAACTTTCACAAGCACTTTACGGTTGCTGAAATTATACTAGCCTGCCTCCACTTCATCACAGCAAGACATGCAGTGGTGCTCAACTTCGTCACGGGTCAATCTCTCATGGCTGCGAGAGGGCTAGAGAAAAATGCAGCGTCCATGCTTCATCATAAGCATGAATGATCCATGATCAATGATCAACTTGCATTCCAAACAAAGCAGCCCTCAAGGAAGAACTTCAGCGAGGCTGACCGCCCTCCATCACCAGCAACCGCAAAAAAAAACTAAAAAACACCACCAACCGCGCAGTGTGGGTTAGGAACACTGAGGCAAGTTGTCTGCCGGCTGGCAATAATCCCAGCCCACCGAAACTTCCCACCTTCTACATCACATTGCTTCCTGAGCTTTACCAAGCGCATGAAACAAGTGACTGGTTTCAAAGAGCTTCTTTTGCTCCTCCTTTGACCGCAACTCATCTGAGTTGAAGTGCAGTGAGCTGTAGAGTACAGGCGCTGGATGTTCCAGCACCAGATGGACTTCTTGGAACAACTATCGGCATGAAAGAGTCTTCGCTGCCCACATGGGTGAGGGTTCTGCCTGCGAATCTGCTCTTCTGCTCTGCCTATCTGAAAAAAGACTCAGGGGTAAGGCACGAAGTATGACGAAGCAGTGTCTGTTCCAAGTGATGATGAACTACATTTTCTGTATCAGTCAGTTGTCGTCGGCGGTGGTGGTGGTGTTGATCGTAGTAGTAGTAGTAGTAGTAGTAGTAGTAGTAGTAGTAGTAGTAGTAGTAGTAGTAGTAGTAGTAGTAGTAGTAGTAGTAGTAGTAGTAGTAGTAGTAGTAGTAGTAGTAGTAGTAGTACAAGTAGCAGTAGTAGTGGTGGTGCCATAGCTAGTCGTAGTCAGCCAAAGTCAGCCCGTAGACAACGGCAGCGATCAGAACAGCAAGTTTCAACCAACATTAGGGTTTAGGCTTAGGGGCCTAGGGCTTGCAGCTTCGGGTTTCGGGATCAGGCTTGCATGTCAGACGCCGTTGGAAACCCTGCGAACAGGAACTCCAACCAAGGTGGTAGACTGACACGCCTGCACCAAAAAGCCTTGCTCATGCGTGGCATGCTCAACCTGGAGAAGTCAAAAGGCCTGGACACGAAAGCACAGCAAATGCAAACTACCAGTGCAGAGCGCAGTAGAGCGGTAGCATCAACAGCAACAGCAGTAGTAACTCTGGCGAGAAGTGTGCCATCGCAAGGACTGTTGTCTCTTCATGCCCTTGAAGCCCTCAACCCTAAACCCTAAACCCTAAACCCTAAACACTCGTAAACCCCACGTTGCAGGTGAAGGCCGGACCTGTACAAGCCCAGCTGCAAGTCCAGCGGTGCCAAGCTGCGGCTGTCCAACAACAAATGCTACAAACCACCAGCCACATAGGGTTTAGGGTTTAGGGTTTAGGATTTAGGGTTTAGGGTTCAGGGTTCAGGGTTCAGGGTTCAAGGTTCAGCGTTTCAGGGTTCAGGGTTCAGGGTTCAGGGTTTAGGGTTTGGTGTCTAGTGTCTAGGGTTTAGGGTTTAGGGTTCAGGGCTCAGGGTTAGGGTTTAGAGGGTCATTGTTCTAGCATTCATCGTCATTAGGGGGTTCTAGGCTTAGGAACAAACCCACCCACCCAAAGAATACCATTACATGAAGCAATATAAAGTTCACTCAACAACTCAAGAACGGTGCCGACGCACCAAAAAGTGCTCAAGAACGGTGCCAAATGCACCAAAAAGTGGTCAAGAACGGTGCCGACGCACCAAAAATGGCTCAAGAACGGTGCCGACGCACCAAGAAGTGCTCAAGAACGGTGCCGATTGAACCAAAAAGTGCTCAACAACGGGGGGTAAACGCACCAAAAAGTGAATAGGGTTTTAATCTATAGGGATAGAAAGGGGTTAGGGTTCAGGGTTTAGGGTTTAGGGTTTAAGGTTTAGGGTTTAGGGTTTAGGGTTTAGGGTTTAGGGTTAAGGGTTTAGGGTTTAGGGTTTAGGGTGTAGGGTTTAGGGTTTACGGTTTAGGGTTTAGGGTTTAGGGCTTAGGGCTTAGGGCTTAGGGCTTAGGGCTTAGGGTTTAGGGTTTAGGGTTTAGGGCTTAGGAAAGGAGAAAGATCAAGGACACTAAACAGCGCATTGTTTCTAAGGCTCCGCTGAACCTGATACACGTGCGCAGTCTTTTGCGCTCTATGCTTGTGTTAAAACAATGCTTGCACCTGCAGGTCTCTCAATCCCAGCCGGCAGAGTTTTCAAGGACCTGGGACAGGCGGCTGGAGCAGGAGGATGTCAGTGAACAGCAACAACTGAGTTCATTGGAACTCGTAGACTTTATGTGGGCCATCAACAATAAATGTACCGAACACGCACGCCATTCGGGACCCTCCAACAAAACAAACACCTGTCAGGACGGCAGCACAGGAACTGAAACTGTGCACCATACACTTTGTGTCGGATTAGGCTCCCCGTGCGGTAGCACAAGTTCTCTTGCCAAGGTTGCCGAAGGCAAAGCAGAGCATGGCTACATGTGCACCAGCAAGAGCTCAACGTGTCACTGTGGCAGGAGAAGGGCTCGCTGGGTGCAGCGCATACACTGTGGCCAAACAGAGTGGGTACAGGCCAAGGATGAAGAACCTGAGTTTCACGCAGCTGCGTGCGTTGGCAGGTAGACAAGCTGGGCAACAATACGCCAAACTGATCAAAGCAACTGTTCTACCTGCTTTATCTACTTCGAGCTTCCCCTCCCTGACAGTAGGCAATTTTGAGCACTCAGCACTCCTTGGATGCCCTTGGCTTTGCGACGGTAACTGAAAAAATCGTCTGGGCGGGCACTGCGAGGAGGGCTCATCTCTGCGCAAAAGTGATGTGGGTAATGCGGTGGCATCATCTGGGGCAGGAGATGTTGAGGGCAAGCTCCAACATCACGCAGGGACGCGCCCTGCAAGGATCACCCGGCATATGGGCTCTCAAGGGATCGTCTCAGGTGGCTCTCCAGGTTTGAGTGCACACGACGAAGAAAAAATTCAGCTTGTAGTCAAATAACTAGCCCCTCACGGAGGGTGGGGAGGGGAGCGTCCACGCGCATGTCTGCGAAGGAAGGGTGTACTGAGAATTCGCCTCGGCTTCCTGCCGAGAAGCGTCTGGTCCCCATGCAGAATTTTCTGACGCCACCCACCCCCCATCCTGTGAAACCGGGGCAGCTGCAAACCTGCCGTGGAGGGTCCCGCCCGTTGGCGGCTTTTACAGAGGAAGGCCTCAAAATGCACGCTGCACAACCCTTCCCCCGCTTGCCCCCCCGCTTGCCCACCCCCTTGCCCCCCCCCCTTGCCCCCTCCCCTGCCCCCCTCCATCCTCCCCCCCCTCCCCCCCCCCCTCCCCCCCCCCTCCCCCTACCCACTTCATTGGGCCTTGTCGAACCTTGCGGCTTCCTGCCGACAAGCGTATTTTGTGCCTGCTCCTTCCCCCTGAACAACCCTTCCGCCCCTGAGAGATGGGACCCCCCTAAAGGGCGCCCCCAGGCGTCATCTCCACATACTGCATGCTCAAGGCCGGCCCGGCTGCCGAGGCGGCGCGCGCAAGCGTTTACAATTAGAAGTTTTTACGCGTAGGTGTTGAGAATTAGTTTATTGCACGTACGGTACGTGTCAAAACAAACTACTACTCAGAGCATCCACGCGCTTGTCTGCGCTGGAAGGGTGTCAGGGCCCCAGCGCATCGATCAGTCTGTGGACTCGGCGGAAGAGGATGCTCAGGGCGAGCAGCACCTTCCAGGCCCGTCGCTGGCTACCACAGATCACGATAGCCAACAGTTTTGGATGGACATGTTTAGGGTGACAGGCTCTTCGAGAGGTCGGACCATCTTCGACCACAGCAAACCTTGCAGCTGTCTCTGCGCTATGGCCCCTGAGCAACAAGACAGAGGTTTTTTAACCTGTAGCCTGAAGCACTTGGTGCTGGGTGCTGCTTCGGAAGCCTCAATCAAAAGGATGGAGGTGGTCTCGGCTGAGAACTCCCACGCCTCAAGCCAAGCGTGCCATGGGCACTTCCCTCCCAAACAGGCCCCTAACAAGCCGGGCCGGGCTGAGGCCAGCACTAGGTTCTGGAAGTACCTGGGCGTGGGGATGCAGATGTGAAGAATCGCATCACGAACAGAAGCTCTACCAGCTTCACCGAAAACATCCAAAGATCGCACCCCGAACCAGTCTACCAGTATGCTCTGCCCCTAGGCCCCACGTACCCCACAAATTGCATCTCGGCTACACCAAGCCCAGGAAGATACCCAGGCAGAAGGTGTTGTTCATGACTGCCGCCCCCTGGTAGGGATCAGGGCACATGGTTTCAGGGTAAGGATTTGAGGCTGTAAGGAGGACTTTCGGGGTGCTCAGTGTCAGCCTCGAGGGTGCTGAGCGATGTGGTGATGGACTTACATGTCCTCTTCTTGGCATAGTTGTACCTCCAATGGAAGTTGGATGCACTCCTCAACTGCTTCCGGCACTTGCCGCGGGCACGCAGCTACCAGCTCGCTCGCATTGGACGCCAGAGGCGCCAGAACCTTGCGAGAGATCCACGCAGATCTCTTTAACAAAACTGCTGCTTGTCGGGGCTCGAGAATTCGAACACAAGCTTAGCTAAGGTCACCGCAAACGAGATGTAGAACGCTGACACGTTTAGCCGCTTTCCTGCAGAGCTTTTTGGGGGCGACTGTCGAGCGGTTGAAGCATGCGTTGGCCATGTCAGGCGGAGCTATCTGGACTGGAGCCGCTTGTAGAAATCTGGCAGAGACGGGCCTATCTCGGCTAGAAGGTCGACCATGGGGTCGGAGAAGACCAGGACCTCAGCGCTAGGATAGGTGGATGGATGGACGGGTGGATATCTCAATGGACAGATGGAGAGATGGATGAAATCGACAGATAGATCTGTGGGTAGATGAATAGGGCCACATTGCGGCGCACGGACCTCTGTCCTGCACCCTTAACTGCTATGAAATGCAGCATTTCTGGCTGCTCGGGCTCTAAATGTTGAGAAATGCGGCATTTCTAGCCCGGCTTGCAAGCTCTAAATGCTGAAAAAAAGCACAAAATTGCTGCAAGCAGTTCTCGTTTCGTGAAACGGCCCAGAATGCTCTCAGAAAGGGTGAAAGCGACGCCGCGGGCCCGCACCGGGATCCGCTGTCCGGGATCGCGACGCGGTGCCACGTCTCAGAAGGTCCCCTAATACCATCGCGCTGGGGCTGGCTCATGGCTTAAGGCTTGTATTGCTGAGGCTGGAGAGTTGGACGCGTTGTAGGGCTTCTCGGGCTTGGGGCGGCGCGGGGTTCGGGGCTTAGGGGTTGGGATGTCTTGAGGCTTAGGCTGTTTGGCACTGTTCAGTTCGGATGATTTTGGATCTAGGGCATTGCATGCCTTAGGGCTTTCAGGGGTTTACGGCTGTTGTCTGTTGTAGGGCTTTCCGCCTTGTAGATTTTAGGGCTCACGGCTGTTGCGAACTTTAGGGGATGACGGACAAGAAGACCACAGGACCGCGGGGCCATAGGACCGCGAGCCAGGAAACCAAAAAATATGGGAACGAGACCATAATAGATCATAAAAGGAGCAAATAAATACGCCCTGATTCCACAAGCCCAAACATTGGACATTAAACATACCAATAACCACACCTTCAACCATAAAATGCCATCTCCAGAACTCGAAATCCAATATTGGCGGAGCTGCTGTACCAGCAGTCGCGCCATCCTCCGCGCTATGATTCGATGGATCTACACACGGGTCGTACTCTGCCTGCAGGGGAGTGGGGGAGACCATGTGGATGCGAGACTAAGACATACTAAGACTGTGTAAGCTTAAGGGGACGTTTTGGGCATCCCGACCGCTTCTTCTTCTTCGGCTTCTTCAACTTCCCATTTGTGCAGCTCAAGAAAAAAGTTGTTGGAGATGCTGTAGTCGGACAGAGCGCCACCCTGCAGCTATTGGCTTCCGAGAAACAGCCATTGCTGGTCGCTTGGGATGCCTTCGGATTCTTCAAGCTTGGCTTTGACGAAGTCGACCGCGTGAGACTCCTCAACGAGGAGTGTGACGACCGAGCCGCTCAGTGTCTTCACGAAGATCTGCATGAGCGATGTGTCGATGGAAATGACGCAAGGGAAACTGCGAACTCTGCTAGAAGGTTAGGCTTGGGCCAGGGCAAGGACTGAACACTTTCAATGGAGCGGACAGCATGGTCACTGTGAGAAGTTTCTGAAAGCTCTCACCGGAACTCTTGGACCCTGCACACCTACTGCACGCCTACTGCTCGCAGTAGTTATCCCCAAGTGAGATAAGTCTTATGTTGACTGTGGATGGTTGACCCTTAGGCTGGATTCGTAAATGGTGAAAAAATATAGCAATCAGGCGATGCCGATAAGCGGTTCGCCGGTTTAGGATATCACGAACTAGGCATTTGCGTGACTACTTCTGCGGTGAGTCGGACAAGCAAATTCGCTTTACAGCAGGACCTCGAGAACCTTGAGGGATGCCAGGGACAGGCCCAAACCTGGGTGCCCTGCAAGAAGGGTCCCGAGAGCCATCTGGTAAGCAGCGCGGATCCTCGGAATGAAAAGCATGGTCGCAGCTATGAAATTTTGTGTGTAAGACTCAGGATCAGGCTTGATCCGCTTTTGCTGCTCTTCCGGATCCAGGTCTGCCAAATCCTGTTGACGACGGTTCTGTGCTGAAGCTTCCAGGTATATACCCCCCACAGACCTCAACACCCATCTGTTCACAGGGGGCGAGATCATGCGATATCCTGAAGACCTCCAACATCCTTCAACTCATTTCCAGTGCACCTCGACCTTCCCTCAAGCAAGCCATTTCACTCCTCCGGCACATCCTCCTCCTCGTCATCCTCGCCCTCAGCACTCCCCTGCGCAAGTGGGATGGCACCAAAGCATACCTCAACTGCAACTCGCACAGCTGCAGATGCCGCCTCACCGTCTTCCAGGTACTTGTTTGGGTTGACCGCGTACTTTGGCTTCTTTGTCTCCTCGAAAAAAGCGGCCGAGCAAGGGCGGCTCCTCTGGTATAACATAACAACATAACAAATCACATGACTTTTTTTACATAACATAAAATGAAATCAAACGAATGAAGTGAAATGCAACAGAAATATTACAATATATATATATATATATATGTATATATATATGTATATATATATATGTATATACAGAAAGATGCACATGCCAATGTTGCATGTATGTTTATGTCGGCGGAGAGAGGGAGGGAGGCAGGTATCCCCGTGTCGCCCATCATCCAAAACTTGATAACTTAGACTCCAGGTTGCCCAGAAACATGAAGATCAACTTTCCAGAGTTGAACTTCAACTGCTCTCTGCCTTTATAGGTTTCTGAACTAACCTGTCTTAAACAAAACCGAAAGACATATGAGTATTCTTCACAAGTACAAACTGTCAAACAGGTTCTTCAACCACCTAACTTTGTTCAACAATATGCAGTCGAACTTGCACATCTTGGAACGCTAAGTAGCTCAAGCTTTGGCAGCCTTTTAGGGTGTTAGGGCTTGAGGAACTTAAAGGCCTTGAGGGGATTTGAGGGGCTCAGGGTTCATGGCTTGGGGTTTGAGGAGCTGCTTAAGGGCTTAGGGTTTAGGGTCTAGGGTTTAGGGTTAGGGTTTAACGTTGAAGAATTAGGGAGAGGCTTGGACGAAAGCTTTACCTGGCCAGGAAGCCTGGAATCTAAAGGATCAAGTCTTTCATGCCGGGCGCCACGTCAACTAACTTTTGGTGGGCCCTGCTTTTTCAACATCTCTCTGAGTAGCCCCTTGTTAAATCCCACCAAACACTCAGCCCACAGTATACTACAGTCTTAATATAGCATAATATAGTATAAACTAGTAGAACATAGTATCATGTAGAATAATATGGTACAAAACCGAGCTTGGCCTGGAGGTCGGTGTTGGGGTCCAGGGCGAAGGACATGAGGCAAGCAACGAACTCCTGGAGGTTGCGTGGGGGGGCTGAGGAGATTTGGGTACTCACAGGTGCCCGGACTTCTTTCGTTCAAGCGACAGAGGGCTTTCGGGAAGGGCACTGCAATCGCACGGGGAGCACAGTTTCCGGAGCCCGGAGCTTCCCTCGTCTCATTTCGACAATGTGTGGGTGCACGGCCGCTTCTTTGAGCAGCCTTCTCTCCTACCGGCAATGTGTCGGACGTTGGGTTTCTTCTTGTTCAGAAATATGTTACGCTTTTTGGTGGCACGACACATCGCAGATGCTACAGTGTGAGACGAAGTCACAATCATTTTACCCCGGTAGCTCTGCACCTGCACAAGGCACGAGTCGCCAATTGACTCACCAAGTTGCGTTTGTCGTGATATTATACTATACTATATGCTATACTATACCATAGTCGACTTTACTAAACTATACTACACTATAGTGCTTTACAACAAATTACAACTATATGATGCCTACCTTTTTTTTTGATACTATACTATACTATACTATATTATACTATACTATACTATATGATACTATATTGTACTATTTCCTACTATATTATACTGTATTTTACTATATTATACTATATTATACTGTATTATGCTATATAATATTCTATGTTATACCATATCTACCATGCTCTACTAGACTAAACCGTCTGTACTATGCAATATTCACCTCCCGAAGCCCTGCCTGGCATACCGCGACTCGGGGAGAAGTAATTCCTCCCAAGTGTCCGGCTTCAGCTGGGGCTCAAGGACATCTGAGGAGAAGATGCACGAAAGGCTCCCATTTCTGGGAGGGGAAGCTTTGAAAGGCAGCTCCAACTTCTTGGAGCCAGGGAAAATTCTGACTGAAGCCCCCCCCCCCTGCAAGCCTCTCCGACTCCACCTCCGGCGAAGCAGGTGCCTGACGCATCTGCAGACATCTGCATCTGCACACCGGACTCAGGCTCTCGCAGCTTTGTAGCACTCATCAAAGGCAGTGATTGCAAGCACATCAATCTCACAAGCACGGTCAAGACGTGGCAAGCCTGATGGTGGCAAAGAATGAGCGAAGGACAGAGGCGCTAGGTTTCGGGTTTCCGAGTGTGGGGGTAAGGCACTTTTGCTTCATCATCTTCATTTTAATCATCCTTCATCATCAGCAACCTTTAAGAATGCAAGACCAAAGTCACGATATGCACGGCTCAAACGCCAGGAGTGGTGGATGAGTGGGGGTGCGCGGGTGCTGCAACGCATCTTTTGGTCTCAGAGGCGCTGCTCGAGCAGAGCGGCTGCCTGGAGCAGCAAGTCGGTGGACCGCACAAACGCGAAGCGCAGGTAACGTGCTCCCAAATGTGGCGCGGAGCGGCTGGCCCCGAGGTAGAAGTTGTCCCCCGGGACACAGGCCACCCCGATCTCCCGAGTCATCTTCATGGCTGCCTCCGTCGGCGAGAGACCCTTCAGGCTCGGCACGTGGAGGAAGTCGGCAAAGATGTAGTAGGCACCCGTGGGCTTGGCAGCGACTCGGAAGCCCGCGCTGCGCAGGGCGGGCAGAAGAATATCGCGCTTTGCCATGTACTCTGGCCCGTGGCTGGCAAAGTAAGCGTCATCCATGCAGAGCATGGAGGCGGCACCATACTGCAAGGGGGTGGGTGCCTGCAGAACCAACTGGTCATGAACCCCACGAAGCGCCCCCGTGTATCTGGCGGGAGTGATCACCCAGCCAACCCGCCAGCCCGTGGCCCGGGCCGTTTTGCTGATGGCATTTACGATGAAGGTTCGGTCCGCCATGCCAGGCTGAAGTGCCATGGCAGCGGGAACATGAGCTGCGCCGTCGAAGACGATGTGCTCATAGATCTCGTCAGTTACGCATAGGACATCATGCTTGATGCACAAGCCGGCGATGGTGGAAAGCTCAGCTGCCGTGAAGACTTTGCCAGTGGGGTTGTGAGGGGTGTTCAGCAGCAAAACCTTGGCTCCCCTCAAAGCCTCCTCCAGCTGCACCAGATCAAAGCTCCACTCGCCAGCCTCCGTTTCCACCAAGGTCACGGCCGAGGGCACCAGGTGCCACAGCTTACACTGACTGGGATACAGCTCATGGAAAGGCTCGAAGAACACCACACGATCACCGGGGGAACAAATGGTGCGAAGCGAACAGGCAAACCCCTCCGTGGCACCAAGGACGACCGTGATGTTCTCCTCGGCATCTGCCTTTATCCCAGGGTAGAAGCGGGCATAGTACTTCTGGAGGCTTTGCCGAAGGAGAGGTAGGCCGAAGGGAAAGGAGTACTGCGAGAGCAAGTCCCGCTGCGCCGGCTCCGTCTGCGCGAGCAGCGGCTCCAGGCGCTCTGCCAAGGCAGACGCCTCCTCCAAGGACGCGCCCTGGAGGAGCGCACCGGCAGCCGCCCGGAGCATTTCGGTCGGTGGAGGCTCGTTGGGGAAGCCCTGGGAGAGGTTGATCGCACCATGCTGGATCGCCAAGCGCGACATGAGTCGGATGGTGCTTTCCTGTACTCCCTGTGCTTCCTTCACATCTGGCCCATTCGGCACTTCGCGCGGCACCTTCCTTGCTGCCTTGGTCAGGTGCCGGCGAAGGACTTCCAGCCCGATGCCGATGCCAACACCCAGTACCACCGGCAGCACCTGCTTAGCTTCAAGAGCCATGGCAAGATCAACGAATCATCTGCTAGGAAAAAGTCTTCCGGGCTGCTTATGATGAACCTTGTGGATGTTCGGGTCATGGGGGCATGGCGATGTTGGAGACGTCTCAGGTCAGGTCTTACTTTGCAAGCGCGAGGCGCGTACCCATGGCAGTCAGCTGCAACGGTTCCGTTCCCAACCACAACCGGACCCCAAAAACAAGCACAGAATGGCACCAGCTGAACCCTGCGTGGGCCTGCGCCATGTGACCTCCAAAGCTGCAGGTTCAAACATTGGTGAAGTAGATGTGAAGTGGTCTGGGCACTCTCAGCTTCGGCCATAGGAATGCTTGATGACGACCCTGTGAAAAGATTGTGAAAGTTCCGTCGTTCAGTGCTTGCATATTTGAGCAGCTTAATCTTGCCATGAGTTGCACAAGTTGACCTTCCCAAGCTGCCAGTGCACGCTGCAGCCAAGGGGCTACATTGCTGGATGCCCTCGGCCCAGCACGTTCGGATCCTCAGCAACTCATGCACATCACGTCCCTCGACAACATCACAAGATATACCTAAGTGAGAAAAACAGACACGTCAGAAGGGAACTCTGTAAATAAGCCGACATGTATGTGAGACGACACCGAGAAACTGAGTTCATGAGCCAACCTTGACGCAGCATCTGCAGTCAACTGTCATCCCCTCAGACGCATCAAACCCGAGGCGATGGCGGCTCGGCAACGGCCCGGACGCCAGCGGCGCAAGTCAGCAGCGGACTGGAGTGAGACAAAAAGTAGCGGAAGCACAGCGAAGCACACGCACTCTGCAAACACCATGGTGTTGCCGCATCAGAACAAAACCCTGGATTCTAAGAACTTCAGCCCAAAAACACATTACGGCTGAAACCGCGAAACAGCATCAACCCCTCAAACCACCTTAAGCCATCTAAAGATCCCTCAGTGGCCCCTTGCCACGGGGTCTTCGCATGTCTTCGCCCCCCCCCCCTAATGCGGAGCAAGACGCAGGGCACAACAACCCCGAGCTAGGGCTGCGCAGGACTCCTCGTAGCGGCTTTTGGGGGTGTGCAAGCGCTTGGTTCTGCTGGCTGCCCAGGAGGAATGCTCTTCAGAGAACCGCGCATCGAGCCGCCGGAAACAATAGGTTTAGTCCACCCGAAACATGAAGCTTCACGGTCCTTGATTTCGGGAGATCCTCCCTTGTGGATCACCTCCTTGGACAAGGATGGCTAGCAGAGGTGACAGTGAGGTTGCTGAGCAATGGGAAGCAGGAGCTTGCCACCTGGCAACGACAGATAGGGCAAATGTGAGGTCGGCATCTCCCAGAATAGGGGCACCCCTTCGATGCTAGAATCCCCACAAAGGGAGCCCCGAAAGGGTACCCCCGAAAAGGGTACCCCCCTATTTTTCCGTACCCCTCCATTCTCGGAAGCCCCCCATATGGTGAGGTCGCGGCCACCCGCTTCCGGAGGTTGGCGCGCTCGGAGCAGCGCTGGACCTGAGCAGGACCCCAAGATCCGGGAGGCGAAGGCCAAAGCATAGGGGCATTTTGGGTTTTGGGGGTTTAGGGGTTCAGGGTTTAGGGTTTAGGGTTTAGGGTGCTTTCCACGTAAGCACGTATGAACAAAGCGTCACTCCAATTTGTCGGAATGACTGACTTAAGACTGTGAGTTTTGCACCCAGTTGCAGAGGCAGAGCATTCTGGAGCAGTCATTGGTAAGTCCCCAGGTGTAATGAAACTAAAAAAGACTTGACAAAAGGAACGAAACTGATATCACCGGAATAATTTCGCTCACGTTTTCCAGAAAGCCAGAAAGGGGGCTGATGGAATCTGGGGTGACCCGCCCAGTGGTCTCCAGAACGTTCCACTGAGCAGCTGCAACTTCCAGCATCCTAGGGTTTCCTACACCCTAAACCCCAAACCCTAAACCCTAAACGGTCTCCTCGGCCAGCTCCTGAACCGAGCAGTTTGCTGCTTCATCACCCCTGTTTTCCGGAAATTGGCAGCTTCCCGATCGCTGGCCGTGCAAAAAATGTAAGGGGTCTGTTGCTCAGAGGTTGGCGTCACAGTGTATACATATTAAGACAGGGTTGTGCACAGCAAAGACAATGCTGAGGGTGGGGCCATGTACTGCTGCATGCAGCTATCAAGGTCCTGAGGGTGCAGGATGAATGATAAGGCCCCACATGATAAGGCCCCACGAGCCCAGCCCTGTAGAGTCCTCCTCCGACTAAACACAATTGTTTCGAACGACCATTCCTGCATGAAAGCCCCCTCCTCCTTCTTGACCGCATCCGTGGAAGTGGCATCGCCTGGCTCGTGCTGATACCAGCTCACCTGTGGCCAGCTTCGGATCCAGAAATGAAGGGGGCTCTCACAATAGCTGCCTTCAACCCCAACACTGGACATCCCTTCAGATCTGTCAGGAGCCTCCGCCTCTTTCAGCAGCCACTTCAGCGATCCCACCTCCTCCTGCTTGGCTGCCCGCATGTTGCAACACGGGAGAACATGAGCGATGAAGGAGCCGCCCATTTACGGGAATTCGCGGAGACTTCTCCATCTTTGCCCATGTCGCTGCTTTCGCCGCCGGCCTCTTCGTATCGACCCGGGATAGGCCCATGGTAGCCACCAGCAACCTCATGAGCTGTGGATGCAAATGGACGGTGGGAGGCTTTTGGGCTCTCAATGGACTTGAAGTGCTGCCGAGGCGCCACAGTCGTCACCATGGCAATATCGGTCGCGGCTTACGATGGTTGCATTCTCAGAAATCCTACAAATTCTACAGAAATGGCTGGCTTGTCTTCAAAAACAAACTTCTTCTCCTGCCTGTAGGAATTGGTGCATTGCATAATTCCGCCGAGCAGGCCGGGATACGAATGCTTCGATGTCAGCAGCTTCAGAGCCCAAAAACCCAATGCTTCCGAGCGTGGAATGGAAACATCAGCGCCAAGCATCACCGCGAGCTCTCGGGAAAGTCGCCAAAAACAAACCCTCGAAGCCATGGGCCTTGGAAGACGGAAACAGAGGCCCTGAGCCCAATATCTCAAGTCAGGTCCTCGAAGCTGATGTCGCCGCTCTTGTTCTGTCAAGGTCAACGATGCTCAAGCGGGGTTCGGACTGTCTGCATTTGTTGGTCCTTGCCTGTGGCCTGTGGTTAAAAAAAAGTTCAGGGGGTCTTTGGACGTAGAAGCCCACAACGAATTAGGAACATTTACGAACGATCAAGCCCTAAAGGAAACAATGGGAACTAGGATGTCGGCAGTTTTGCAAGCCCTCCCACAAGAAATGGCCTGCAGGCTTGCGAGGATGTATGTGTTCATGCTAATCACCGACACCTAAACATACAAGGATGCCCAATTATACTCAACCCTTTGATTTTGAACAACTCTGAACCTGAACCAGGCTAGTTTCTCCGCGTTTCACAAGGCCTCAGCAGCCAGTCCCCTGAGAACCGTGCCGTGTCCGCCGCATCGAACATTGCATACTGCGCTTCTCTGGAAAGGTTCTCGCCTAGAGCCATCTTTTAAACTTTTATGCATTCTGACATGTTACATCACGTCACCCTGAAGCTTCCCCAAGATGTGTAAGCAGGTCCGAGCAGGAGGTCTCTTTGCAACCAAGCCGCCCACATCCTGCGCTGGTCTCAGACTCTGTTCCACATGTGCTTTTCCAACGTCGGGCGATTTAGACGGCGAGAAATCTTCTGACTCGATCTTGGGACAATGAGTGCCAAACAGCTACAAGGCCTCTAAGCAAATCAGGTAGGATTCTCCACCAATGACTGCTAACCACCGTGTTCAGCTCTCCTTGAAGATCATTCGGAACTCCTCGAAATCTATAGCGTTATCACCTCGGCTGCTTTCCCATGTTCCTACGCTCACCGGGGCAGCTGGTTGCTTTTCAGGTTCACAACTAAAAACCCATCCACTGAGAGAAGTTGAGTGACCTTCGAAACCTTTTCTCCTGGTCATCAGTAATATGAAGAGTCGATATGAGGCCGCTAAGCCTCGTTGCTAGCCACAGATATCAACGTGTTGACATGCACAGAATGTATTGTTTCAAAACACACAAACTTCAGAGAGGGGCGACGTATGGTGCCTTGAGAACTAGGCAGTTTCATTTTGCCATCAAGCCTGTGGACACCTCTATTGGGCTGTTTGCCTCGGGCCGTGGGTTCCCGTCCCGAATGAGGGCCCACGGCTGGGTCCAGGATACCACCGAAAGTGGGAAACCCCATTATGGTTTCCACGGAATACGGAATGCCCTTCCACCCCAACAACCTTCCAACCCAACAACCAACATCCCCCAAGTCTGACTAACAGCACCTAGGCCCCACTAGGAGTGGCATTAGCAGCAAGAGCGAATCAGAACAAATGGGATGTATCTCGTGCTGTATGTCTTTCATGGGGCAAAAGGAGGAATGTATCTCTCCATATTCCTTAATTCTTTTTAATGACTTTGTCAATTTGTTTCCTTGCTTAATTCGTTCTTGTGTATGTATTTCGCTCAGACAACCTGTACTGGGGTTGGATGATTCACTTGGGCCTCTCTCTATTAAACTCCTTCTGGTGCATAAGATGCGAACTAACGTGTACATCGTTTGGGGCTGGGCTTTCTTTCTGACCTGTTGTCACAGCTTGTCGATGGGCTTGTCTTCTCTGTCTTTTTTCCTTAAGGTAATTTTTTGTGTCTGCCTTCGACTGATGCTTTCCACCTTGTTTCTAAGGTCGCCCAGCAGTGCTTTCCACGCGTCTCAGACTTGTTCCAACCCTCCGCGTGCTCAGCACAGGGCCATTGGCATCGTACATGGCGAAGAAGGGCGCTAGGACCTCCACAATTGTGGGTCCGTTGCGGTTCATGGGTTGAAGAGCTTGGTGTTGCAAGTTCCCCGAAAGTTGATCGGCATCGCGCATCACCCAACTTCCAAAACCCAGAATTGGGGAGGTCCCTCTTCTCATTGGTCGCAGCTCGGTCCTTGCACATGCGCCGAACTTCGTCCATCGACTCCTTGTTCAGCAGCACCTCCGACGGGAGCCACACACCACCTCCCCCCTGGTCCCAGGCACGGGAGCTTGTGGCCTCCGTGAGGTCGCCCTTCTTGCACATGTTGCTCCTGACATCCGCGCAGTAAAAACACGCGCTTCGCCTCCGAACCCTCCGTAAAGCCCCAAGGGGGGGGGGGGGGGGGCGCACCACTGCTTATCTCGGAAGGAGGCCATGGCTCCGCGCAGCGTGAGCGTGCCTGGCCCGTGCCAAGACTCAGAGATAACGACTGCAGATCCTAGCTCTGCTATGAGCTATCCTGACAATCTCCACAGCATCTGTCATGCCTGACCGTACCGGCATCTGGACAATTGGCAGGACTTTGCCGATCTCTCAACGAGGGATTGCTGTCTCCGGATGCTTCCAAACCCTGCGAATGATGTCGGCAGCACCGTCACGCATTGCCTGCTGATTGGGCACAGAAACGCGTTGCAGAATGCACATTTTTCAGGAGGAGTCAGCAATTGTCAATAGTGCGAAAGCGCATTGCAGTTGCCTTGGGCACTAACTTCTGTGTTGAGGGAGGGTCCTCTAACCCTTAGCTTTGCAGCCTGCGTTGAAGGCCCTCTTCATGGAGACACTCCATCAACCTCCATCAATTGCCACAACCTCATTAGACATTGGAAGGAACTGAATTTGGAGCTCACTCGGCGAGAATCGGCTCCACGCAACCACCACCCAGCAATCAGCACCTGTCTCCTCAACCTCAGTTCCCCCTTAGCACCTGAATGGTGCTCTCGGCAATGGCGTCGCTGACAGCTCCGCCCTGCGACTCCGACCTGACAGCAGGAACTTTCCCATCGGTGTGCAAAGACATTGCGCAATCCTCTCATCAATCTGCGGCCGCAGACACTTACAAAAGCTCGACACACCGGAGATTCTCATGTCAAATGACACAATTGGGGTGCAGCAGGACATGGTGTATGATTAGAAGGGCTTCATTCGGTGCAAAGGCCTCACAGCAAGAACACATGCTTAAGAGTCAAGACATAAAGCAAGCTTGTGTGCACTTCTGGGCCCTGCGCCACATCTTCCAAAGATACCACCTGGGAAGCCATCTGCCAAGAAGAACCGTGTTCACACCGGAAAGTTGGTAAAAAGCACAGAGCAAGCGCATGCGGCTAGCTTGCCTTAGCCCATTGGAGAAACTTGCCTCCTGACCACAAGCACCCGGGTCTTTTTGCCAGGACGCAGGAAGAAAGCCACACAGACGAAGAGCCCCAGCAGCGCGAAGAGGTTCTCGTACTCGGCCTGCACTGACCGGGGGCGCGCAAGACCGCTGGGAGAATCCAGGGTGCCCCTTTACTGGCTTCGTGTTACAGCGGGCTCTTCTCGAAGCCTCCCGCAGCTGCATCTTCTTTTCCTTCTCCAGGTTGTCCTGCCAGGCTCACGTCACCCATGAAGCTGATCTTGACTTTGGGCTGCCCGACCCTCTGCCATGTTACACGCCAGCAAGCCCTGCGTCTGTGCAAGGCAACCGGTCCAGCGGCTTCGGCATCTTGTCGACCATAAATGCCGAGCCCTGGATGATGATGTACCTCAATGGGGCCGGATCTCAGCCAAACGATGCCTCAAACGCCCCTCTTTCTGAGCCATCCTGACCCGCACGACCTCCAACCTCCAACATCGAAACCGGTGAGAGCAAGCCCACCCCAATCGCCTCAAACCCGCGCTTTGGCTACATTGCATGTCCACAGCTTAGGCAACTTGCAAGGCCCCCGGCCCGACCATGGTGTAGAGCATGGTGTAGGCCTCAATCATGAACCCGATGAGTAGCTCCAAAGCGAACCGACTACTCTCACGCTCAGGGTAACTGTCGGGTCGGAAGATGAATCGAAAACCGGACCGAGTCCGAAAGCAAAAAACAAACGGGCCAGACAACAAGCAAGCACGACTCAGAAAAGAAGGCGGCACGAGACGGAAAAACTGGAGGGACACATGAATCGAGAGTGTCCATTCAAAGTCCTGAAACCCAAAACCCCAAAACGCTCAAACCCTGAAACCCTCAACCCCAAAACCCAAAAACCCCGGAAACCCTGAAACCCCGAACCGATCAAGCTGAGTGCGGAGCAATGCCCCCTTGTTGTGACGGTCACCGCTGAGCCAGGGCTCCGACGTTCTGGATGATCTCCGGGCCATAGCCCACGCCAGTATCTCGGCATTGGCATGAAGATGACGAAGAGCAGAGCTAGCAGGCTCGATTTTGCGTAACCGTCCATGGATGAGTCGTGGAGACTATGCAAGCACAGAGCCGAGCTCCGCGACGGATAAGGGACATGTTCCCGGGCGGGGACAGCTTCTCCCAGGTCTGGCATCATCGGTTCAAGAGCCCAAAAGAACTCTAAGAATGCCTTCTGCACTTTGTCACAACAACCGTGTCAGTTCAATGCTGTCATGTCTCGGAGTCTCCTGACGTTCTGCCAGCACGAAGAGATGTCAAAAATAACAGATTCCTATCTCGCTCTGCCTTGCATTTCACAGCTTAAGCAATCAGACATGTCATTGCATGCCAGTCTTCCAGATTGAGAGGCGGCGCAGCGAAACTGTGCAGCGAGAGACGAGTCTCAACCTCGACAGCAACCAGGCCAGCCCAGCCGCCGGATCAGCACCAGAGGGGCGCTGGTAAGTTGGCTTGCCGTCCTTCAGTGACACCTGGACAAATGCCATGGAAAAAGGCACAGTTTCCCTTCAACGACGTTCCCTTCAACGACGTCAGATGTGGCACGGCCCAGGGCCCACACTCGGCCGGCAAGCACTGCCAAGAACCTGCGCTAGGGCGCACGGAGGCAACCATGATGTGCCCGCTCGACAGGGGGAGGAGAGGGTAGCATGTGAGCGGGTGCTGGAGAGCGTTCGGAAAGGCATCCTGATGGGCATGGGGCGTGCCAAGGCAGCGTCAGCAGCATCACCGTGCTGCCGGCGAGGGCGCCCACACCAACGCTAACCTCCAGTATCCCACAATCTGTTCGTGGCATGTCATAGCACACGTTTCGTAGCACGGCAAGAGACTTCAACGTCGGGGCAACCTTCCATGGCACGTGTGAGAAATCAAGATCCCTAGTTCAACAATTGAAATTTGACAACCATCTGACAACCCACGACGCATCGTCTCTGTACAGACTCTCCAACCAACAAAGAGCTGCATCCGCAAGCCCTTAAGAACCATGTGTGCCTGGTTCTGCGCATCCGGGCCCAGCCCCGAGAAAAGCACCATCCTCACCCAGCTCGGCTTCAAGCGCTAGCAAGGCTCAGAGGCTTCGGGCTGAAGGGGCTTAGAGGGCGACCTAAGAGGAGCAAAGCAACTCTCCCGGCAACCTTTGCTCAGCCAGGGGGCATGCCGTCGGGGACTGCCCCGAGGATCGGCAGCACCACGCTGAAAGGAGGTTGCGGGATGGCTCGGGCTTTCGGTGTGCACCAAAGGGCCAGAGGGAGCAGCTGTTGAGAGCGATTCTGTTCTGTGCCCTTTTGAAGAACTATGCACTGTTGATGAAGTCTCACCTTTGCGCTGATGACGAAACTTACGACCTGACTTGAGAAGCACTCCTGGTACCGCCAAGAACTCCTTCGGCTGCCCCTAGTGTGCCCAAAGTTTTTCACCTGTGAGGGGGGACAACGCCCCGCCAACCCCTCACTTTGGCCTGCCGACAACGGGTGCCGCTGCGGGCACAAGCCTGGCAGCAAGAAACCACAGAAAACCAAAACTCCAAGATTCAGAACGGCAGCATGCTAACATGAAGTCATGAAGCAGCCCCCCGCGGAAACTTGCCGGCACAACAGGAGCAGCTCACTCCCATCGCTGATGAGGTTGGAAGCCTCTGCGAGCAACAGCTCTGTCAAAAGTTCATCATGTTCTGCCGCCCCCGCGGTTGCAAAAGGAGCACAGTGTAATGAAATCCCAACAGCATCGCAGAGCATCGCGAATGCTTCTAAAGCTTGAAAGCAACGACCTGCAGTCCTTCTTTGCTGCCGGTGCACGGATTTATGGAATGTCAATCATGCCAGTGTGTTGTGCAAATATGTCATGGGCATGTGCGTCAACATCAAGCACTGGGGCACTCAGCATCGAATTTTTGCTGTGGCGAGCCACGAGCTATCCACTCAAAGCACTGTGGCACTCTTAACACGATGTCATGGCCATTTCCAGCAACGGCCCTGGTGGCGCAGAATGACTAAAGAACCCTGAAGCCACACAGCCAAAAAGAAAGCCTGAAAGCCCTCCCCGAGGCCCAAGAAAACTTGCCGCCTGAAAAAGTACGTAGCCGTACCTGGGCCAGGCTCGCGGCTTCGGTATGACTTTTTGTAGGTAGGGTTTAGGGTTGAGGGTTTGGGATTAAGGCATAGGGCTTATGGCTTAGGGTTTAGGGCTTGGGGTTTAGGGTTTAGGCCTCCTGTGAAAACTCTGGGCCGACCATGGTATGCCAAGCTGCATCACAGTCAGGAACACGATCTGCGCCTGGGAGGCAGCACATGGAGTTCACGAGGGAAGCCACGTGCAACTTGAAATGCATGTGATTGTCCAAGACGATTGCACTGAATTCTGATATCCTGTAAAGATGCTCTGAGTCTGTTTCTGCATCTTCCTTTGTCTCTCACGCCCGAGTTGAAGACGATGCGATGAAGAGGCTTGCCAAATCTTGCCAACCCTACCAGCAACCTTCAACAGCACAAGTTTCTGTCACCACTTGGGGCCCTTGCCATGTTGCAGTTCTCTGGGAGCGGGAAGGGATCTGGCAACAAGCGATGCGCAATGCTTTCCATGCATTCACCCGCTACTGCAGGCACTCCAGACCCGTCAGCATCCCACGACATCTGCAAGTCCACAAGATTCTACAAGCCTCCAGAGGGCTTCCAACCATTATGGATGCCTTTGGAAGGATCTTGGAATGCTGGGAACACAGCCCCCAAGCCTTCGGAAAGATGGTTGAGAGGGTGCACCAAACGCGAACAAAGATAAATCATTCTCTGGCGACGAAAGCGGAGGCAACGATTCCACAAACGTGGGAGGAACCCTCACCCTTACCCCGCGACTACCACTCTAAGCGGCTCGTTGATGGAAAGCACAGAGCGCGCTCACATCAAGCATCTACGCATGCGCCAAGACTCGCAAGCGAGACTCAGTGGATCCGCAGCCGCCTGACAGTTTCTTGAGGAGACCCCCAACAAGTACCCCCAAGTCTTTGGTGCTAGGGTGGCGCTTGCAAGCCAACCTGAAACAAATCCCGCTACACCGGCATCCCACCCCACAGACACGTCCCCCTTCCCACCCAGGAGGCATACGAAACATTGCAAGACCATTCAAGACTGCACTACATCTCAGAGCTCCCTGCCTGGTCTGCCGCAGCCGTCGCAAATAACGGCTCCAGCATGGTTACCTATTCCCACAGGCGGAAGCCCTCGAAGAACAACAACGTGAACGTGGCAGCAGTTCACGCCCCTTACAGATGCGCTGGAGCCTCGTTGTCAGCGCGGGTGGGCGCTTGAGGGGGGACTTTGTCTGAAGCCAGTTTGCAACGGACGGCAGCAGCTTGTGACTGTGCAGCTCACGGGGCATGAGCCTGTCCGGACACATCCCAGCATGGCGCATGACCCGAGAAGGATCAGCAGAAGGGCATGCTATGCATGCTCATGCCAGCCTCCCTGCATCCTGCCGTGTCAAGCAATGTTTGTTCACATCACTGGCACATCGACCTCATCTAGGCGGGCCTTAGGCCACAGACCTTAAAAGCAGCCCCACGTGGGCCCTTGCTTGGTCCTTTTGCTGCTGGGTGCAGCTCACTTGCTCTTCTTGACAGGCTTGCAGAGTCCACCAGCAGCCAGGCACTGACCACTCCTGGGCTCCGCAGGACGGAAAAAAAACCGACGAGATGCTACGAACACGAGTTTTTGCGATGTCGACGACAGCCGAGGTGCGAGGTGACAGCGCACTGGACGAAGTAGTGGCCGTCCTCGCTCCTTTGCAATGCTTTAATGCGCCACAGGCACCAGCACTTCCTCCATCCTGAACTGCTGTATGTTGCTGTGGACTTCGCATGAGCACCAAGACCACTATCTTGACCGGATGCAAGCCCCGTCCTGGTGTAGGACCGTGTGCATGCCTGCTGTGGATACACACCACTGTCTGAAAACAACATTGCTGCGGCATCTGCGGCTCGGAGTCTCCGGAAATCCTTTAGGAATCGCTCCCTGAACTCTTTTGCAAGTGCAGATAACAAGTGCACACTCTTGAGTATGTACACCCAAGCCTCGTAGGCCCATGCACAGGCCTCACAGAGCCATCCGATGAAGCCGAGGCGCCTTGTCGTCGTCGATGATGCTGTCGCAGCTCCATACCTCCTTTGTGCTGGCGCCTTTGCACCAGCGTGCGGCCTGCCAGCATCGGGTTCACAGAAGGAGCTGGTCGATTCGATGGCTTTACCTAGGGCCCAAAGAGCAATAGCACGGGCTGGGATGCAAGAGAACTTCCTGTTGAGTGCTTAAGCCAAGTTTCCAGAAGCCACACCCAACGAGACTACAATGGCTAGCAAACTCAAGTGATGCCACAGCTGCACGCACCTCGGGAATAAGGGTCGTTGCCGTCGACACTTCATCCATATCCGGGCCTCAGCACGACCAATTGGCGAGGAAAACAACCCAACCAGCCCTCCAGCTTCAACCAAGCATGGAATGAGTAGTGTTTTCACGAACTGATCTTTGGGCACGTGTCCTAGATGACCGTAAAACGCTTCCAAGAAGGTATCCCGAATATTCGCAACTGTTGCTCTTGTAGCTCTACTATTTTACAAGAATCTGGGCTACAGTGGGCTGCATGTTCACCTGGTCCTTGCTCTGATCTTCTCACTCTGGTGAAACTGGATATGTTCTTCTGCTTTCCATCATGTGCTCCTAATTGCAACAAACCTGCATCGTCAACAGCAGCGTACAGCAACCATCCACCGTAAGCCCTCAATGTCTGCTAGGTCTGCCAGGTTGCATGTGTCGTAAAGGTGGCACCAGCCCGTTTGCTCGTAGAAGGCAGCTGCCACGCCTGAGGCTTGCACGTGCGTAGGGTTTAGGGTTTAGGGTTTAGGGTTTAGGGTTTAGGGTTTAGGGTTTAGGGTTTAGGGTTTAGGGTTTAGGGTTTAGGGTTTAGGGTTTAGGGTTTAGGGTTTAGGGTTTAGGGTTTAGGGTTTATGGTTTAGGTTTAGGGTTTAGGGTTTAGGGTTTAGGGTTTAGGGTTTAGGGTTTAGGGTTTAGGGTTTAGGGTTTAGGGTTTAGGGTTTAGGGTTTAAGGTTTAGGGTTTAGGGTTTAGGGTTTAGGGTTTAGGGTTTAGGGTTTAGGGTTCAGCATCTCAAGTTCGAGCATTTACTAGGCCAGCAGTGTGTGTAGGCAACGGAACAAAACCCACCCGCCCAAAGAATCCCATAACATTACGAAAATAAAAGCTTATTAATTTCTTATTCGTGCTGAACCATGGAGGGTTAAAGAGGTCAGCATTTCAGGGGTAAAACTAACTGGGAATCGAGTCATTTTTACCGAATCCTGGGGTACCCTCCACGAAGCCTTCCTAAGAGGGTTGGAGGGGTCAAAATGGATCAAATTCTCCAATTGGTGCTGAACAATGGGGGGTCAGAGGGGTCGGAGAAGGCAAAATGGATCAAATTCTCCAATTGGTGCTGAACAATGGGGGGTCAGAGGGGTCGAAAAAGCCAAAATGGATCAAATTCTCCAATTGGTGCTGAACAATGGGGGGTCAAAGGGGTCAGAAGGGTCGACGTGGGTCAAATTCTCCAATTGATGCTGAACAATGGGGGGGTCAAAGGGGTTCAAAGAAATCGGAGGGGTCGAAATGGATCAAATTCTCCAATTGGTGCTGAACAATGGGGGTGCCAAAACGGTCGGAGCGGCCAAAATGGATCAAATTCTCCAATTGGTGCCGAACAATGGGGGTCAAAGGGGTCGGAGGGGTCGAAATGGATCAAATTCTCCAATTGGTGCTGAACAATGGGGGGTCAAGGGGTCCGAGGGGTCGAAATGGATCAAATTCTCCAATTGGTGCTGAACAATGGGGGGTTAAAGGGGTCAGAGGGCCAGCATTGAGAGGGCCAGAGAAATCTAGAAAATGAGGGGGTCGTTTCCGCTATATAAATTCTATTTAAAACTAACTGGGAATCGGGCCATTTTTACCGAATCCTGGGGTACCCCCCACGAAGCCTCCCTGACAGGGGTCGGAGGGGTCAAAATGGATCAAATTCTCCAATTGGTGCTGAACAATGGAGGGTCAGAGGGGTCGGAGAAGCCAAAATGGATCAAATTCTCCAATTGGTGCTGAACAATGGGGGGTCAGAGGGGTCGGAGAAGCCAAAATGGATCAAATTCTCCAATTGGTGCTGAACAATGGGGTGCCAAGGGGGTCGGAGCGGCCAAAATGGATCAAATTCTCCAATTGGTGCTGAACAATGGGGGGTCAAAGGGGTCGGAGGGGCCAAAATGGATCAAATTCTCCAATTGGTGCTGAACAATGGGGGGGTGAAAAAAAAGAAATGGATCAAATTCTCCAATTGGTGTTTAACATTTAGGGTTATATGGTAGAGAGGTTTAGGGTTTAGGGTTTAGGGTTTAGGGTTTAGGGTTTAGGGTTTAGGGTTTAGGGTTTAGGGTTTAGGGTTTAGGGTTTAGGGTTTAGGGTTTAGGGTTTAGGGTTTAGGGTTTAGGAGGGGCCAAAATGGATCAAATTCTCCAATTGGTGCTGAACAACGGGGGGGTGAAAAAAAAAGAAATGGATCAAATTCTCCAATTGGTGTTTAACATTTAGGGTTATATGGTAGAGAGGGTTAGGGTTTAGGGTTTAGGGTTTAGGGTTTAGGGTTTAGGGGGGGTTAGGGTTTAGGTTTAGGGGTTTAGGGTTTAGGGTTTAGGGTTAGGGTTAGGTTTAGGGTTTGGTTTAGGTTTAGGGTTTAGGGTTTAGGGTTTAGGGTTTAGGGTTTAGGGTTTAGGGTTTAGGGTTTAGGGTTTAGGGTTTAGGGTTTAGGGTCTAGAGGGTCACTGTTCTAGCATTCATTCCAGGCTCAGGGAAAAAACCCACCCGCCCAAAGAATCCCATAACATTAAGAAAATAAACGGTTTTCATTTTACTCCAGATTAGGGGCCGCTCGTTTTAAACACAGGCCCTGAGGCCCTGAAACCCTAAACCCTGAGGCCTTGAAACCCTAAACGCTGGGCCCTGAAACCCTAAACACAGGCCCTGAGGCCCTGAAACCCTAAACACAGGCCCTGAGGCCTTGAAACCCTAAACGCTGGGCCCTGAAACCCTAAACACAGGCCCTGAGGCCCTGAAACCCTAAACACAGGCCCTGAGGCCTTGAAACCCTAAACGCTGGGCCCTGAAACCCTAAACACAGGCCCTGAGGCCCTGAAACCCTAAACACAGGCCCTGAGGCCTTGAAACCCTAAACGCTGGGCCCTGAAACCCTAAACACAGGCCCTGAGGCCCTGAAACCCTAAACACAGGCCCTGAGGCCTTGAAACCCTAACCCTAAACACAGGCCCTGAGGCCCTGAAACCCTAAACACAGGGCCCTGAAAACCCTTGTTGAAACCCTAAACGCTGGGCCCTGAAACCCTAAACACAGGCCCTGAGGCCCTGAAACCCTAAACACAGGCCCTGAGGCCTTGAAACCCTAAACGCTGGGCCCTGAAACCCTAAACACAGGCCCTGAGGCCCTGAAACCCTAAACACAGGCCCTGAGGCCTTGAAACCCTAAACGCTGGGCCCTGAAACCCTAAACACAGGCCCTGAGGCCCTGAAACCCTAAACACAGGCCCTGAGGCCTTGAAACCCTAAACGCTGGGCCCTGAAACCCTAAACACAGGCCCTGAGGCCCTGAAACCCTAAACACAGGCCCTGAGGCCTTGAAACCCTAAACGCTGGGCCCTGAAACCCTGGCCCTGAGGCCCTGAAACCCGGCCCTGAGGCCCTGAAACCCTAGGCCTTGAGGCCTTGAAACCCTAAACGCTGGGCCCTGAAACCCTAAACACAGGCCCTGAGGCCCTGAAACCCTAAACACAGGCCCTGAGGCCTTGAAACCCTAAACGGCCCTGAGGCCTTGAAACCCTAAACGCTGGGCCCTGAAACCCTAAACACAGGCCCTGAGGCCCTGAAACCCTAAACACAGGCCCTGAAGCCTTGAAACCCTAAACGCTGGGCCCTGAAACCCTAAACACAGGCCCTGAAACCCTAAACACAGGCCCTGAGGCCTTGAAACCCTAAACGCTGGGCCCTGAAACCCTAAACACAGGCCCTGAGGCCTTGAAACCCTAAACAAGAAACCCTAAACACAGGCCCTGAGGCCCTGAAACCCTAAACACAGGCCCTGAGGCCTTGAAACCCTAAACGCTGGGCCCTGAAACCCTAAACACAGGCCCTGAGGCCCTGAAACCCTAAACACAGGCCCTGAGGCCTTGAAACCCTAAACGCTGGGCCCTGAAACCCTAAACACAGGCCCTGAGGCCCTGAAACCCTAAACACAGGCCCTGAGGCCTTGAAACCCTAAACACAGGCCCTGAGGCCTTGAAACCCTAAACGCTGGGCCCTGAAACCCTAAACACAGGCCCTGAGGCCCTGAAACCCTAAACACAGGCCCTGAGGCCTTGAAACCCTAAACGCTGGGCCCTGAAACCCTAAACACAGGCCCTGAGGCCCTGAAACCCTAAACACAGGCCCTGAGGCCTTGAAACCCTAAACGCTGGGCCCTGAAACCCTAAACACAAGCCCTGAGGCCCTGAAACCCTAAACACAGGCCCTGAGGCCTTGAAACCCTAAACGCTGGGCCCTGAAACCCTAAACACAGGCCCTGAGGCCCTGAAACCCTAAACACAGGCCCTGAGGCCTTGAAACCCTAAACGCTGGCCCCTGAAACCCTAAACACAGGCCCTGAGGCCCTGAAACCCTAAACACAGGCCCTGAGGCCTTGAAGGGGGGAAGGGGGGGAGGGGGGGGAGGGGCCGAAATCGGCCGAACACTGGGGGGACCAGTGTTCGTGGCTTTTCGGCCAGGCCGAAATCGGCCGAACACTGGGGGGACCAGTGTTCGTGGCTTTTCGGCCAGGCCGAAATCGGCCGAACACTGGGGGGACCAGTGTTCGTGGCTTTTCGGCCAGGCCGAAATCGGCCGAACACTGGGGGGACCAGTGTTCGTGGCTTTTCGGCCAGGCCGAAATCGGCCGAACACTGGGGGGACCAGTGTTCGTGGCTTTTCGGCCGTGGCCGAAATCGGCCGAACACTGGGGGGACCAGTGTTCGTGGCTTTTCGGCCAGGCCGAAATCGGCCGAACACTGGGGGGACCAGTGTTCGTGGCTTTTCGGCCGTGGCCGAAATCGGCCGAACACTGGGGGGACCAGTGTTCGTGGCTTTTCGGCCGTGGCCGAAATCGGCCGAAGGTTTAAATATATATAAGAAAGAGAGGGTTTAGGGTTTAGGGTTTAGGGTTTAGGGTTTAGGGTTTAGGGTTTAGGGTTTAGGGTTTAGGGGTTTAGGGGTTTAGGGGTTTAGGGTTCAGGGTTCAGGGTTTAGGGTTTAGGGTTTAGGGTTTAGGGTTTAGGGTTTAGGGTTTAGGGTTTAGGGTTTAGGGTTTAGGGTTTAGGGTTTAGGGTTTAGGGCCAGGGTTTAGGGTTTAGGGTTTAGACCAGTTTAGGGTTTAGGGTGACTAAACCACAGCACTGCACTGCTCTCTGACTTCTCTTTGTCAAGCACAGGGATCAGGCTGACTCTTCAGCTGTTCGCAGGGCATTTCGCTCCAAGGCACAGGTCTTCTGCGGGCAGTTTTTGGCCTGCTCATTCCCGGAGCATTTCAGCGCACACCTTTCAGATTTGTTGCGGTGGCTGCAGGGGCTGGTTCAAGATTGACTTCTGGACCTCGCGGGTTTGAGCTGAGGCCACTGCTCGTTCAACGTCAAGCCGCTCCACCCGTCACAGACGTTGCTCTTATCCGTTGTGTCAAACCTTAGGGGATCTTCCAGGGGAGCCCAGCATCCCGGTAGACTACAGGCTGCATCTTGAACCTGTGAGCCCTGATCTGGAGATGCTTCCGCGCCGACGCAGACAGAGAGTCTGCGTCCCACAGTTCAGTGTTGGGAAAAGACTTCCGGCAAAGCGATATCCGAGTGCAGAGGAGCCACGTGTAAGGCTTGGAACTGCACCTCGCGCCCTTGATGTCCTTCATCGGTACCTGCACTCCCAGTTCATTTGGAGACTGTGACCTAGAAAAGCTTGTCAAAATGAGGCTAGGCCTTATGCAAAACGCCTGGCCGACTGAAGACTAGAAGCAACACGGCAGTCACAGGAGCTACAGAACTATTGTGCCTCACAGCTCTGACCTGAGATTTCCCCCCCGACATCCTTGTCGACGATAGCCGTGGCAGTGTCAGAGGGCTTGGTTTCCACACCTCGGCACATGAAGAGATACGAAGAAGCATGAGAAATTTATCATGACATATAGAAAGAAGCGTGACGAAACACTCAGAAATGCGAAGACAGGTGAAGAACAATCCTGCACCGCTTTCGTGCTCTTGCTTTGCTTCCAGGTTGCAGGACTCCTGCAAGTGGCACCACCCAGTCTTCGGATAAAAAGTAGCACCACGACCTGACAACAAACATATCACCTTACTAGGACGAGCGGCGCCGTATGGCGCCGCAAACCAGTCAAGAGAAGTGTCTACTTGCAGCCTTGTGGCATGTCTTGCGAGGGCAATTCTTTGCCTTTGCATGAGTGCTGCACTTCTCCATGCACCTCGGCCACAGACCATTCTTGCGACTTGGGCCCGAAGCTTCTTCGTCGAGCCTATGTCGAGAAGTTGCCCTCGCAAGCTTGAGGCAGGGACTGTTCTTCCGTTAGTCCACTCCACCCATCACAGCCCGCAGCTGTGTCAAACCTTTGATTCCGCGGCAGGCCAAGAGGCAAAGGCGGAAAGACGCTGGCATTTGCTGATGCACGACGCCTCTAAGTGTCCCTACACCCAACAAGCCCCGCACGTGTAGGGCTTTGCATCACACGCCTTGCCCTCCACAGCCACCATAGGAACCTGTTGCCAGAATTCTGCACATTTCGGCCAGCCTAAAAAGCTGCAGCAAGCACATCGGGGTGTTCACACGAGTCCTTTTAGCCGTCCCGCCTCGCAAAGGTTCGCCTTGCGCGCAATCATTCTGCGCCTCGGAACAAAAAGCGGGGTGCCCGGGCTTGGAGGCTCCATGGCTTCAACAGGTAGCTGAGGGCCTGGAGGGCTCTGGGGTGACACTGTTTTGCGTTGAAATCTCTGAGGAAGCGCTTCAGTCAGTGTAGATTCGTGCTTTCCAGGCAAGTTGTGCACACATCGGGGGCTCCAAGAATGACTCCAAGTCGCTGCTCGATGTGGCCCATGCAGCGGGCTTCTGCATCAGGGCACACATGGGCGCTCCCACGAAAATCTCAAGCTCTCGGGGGGTGCAGGGTCTTGTGGGGGGGGGGGGGGGGGGAGCATGATAGTGACACTGGACTCTGTTCCGGACTCTTTGAAAGCCTCCTCAACAAAACCTTGATTCCCTCCACTGCCCGGCACTCTCCCATCGCCCTCCCGACGCGGTGTTAAAGGGCCGCCTTGCTTCCAGCAGGTGCCAGACCAAGCATAGCAAGTGCCCGCCGGATTGTCGAAGTCGTAGAGGTAGTGGGCGCCACAGTGGTGGAACCTCGGCTCGAAGATGCGGAGAAGCTATCGCAAGCTCTAGAAGCAAGTAAAGGAAGGGCTTATTCCTGCTTGCGAAGGCCACCGACGCAAGTGAAAATCTGTATAAGCTGGCCAGCACATCACGCACTTACATCTTGCAAGACGTAGCTCATGGTGCTGGTACGCGTGTTTGTTGAAACCGTCTCCTTTGAGCTCCCGACATCTTGTTGGCGATGGCCTTTCGCACCAAGGCCGTGTCCTCTCTTGACATACTCAGCACACAACATTTGCCCATTCTTGCGCTCCCACAGCATGTCCTTGTCTTTGCAAGCAACAGCTTCTGGGCCATAGTTTGCATTGTTGACGACAAGCTCTGGGCCTGTGAGCCATGCTGAAGCCTTCAGCCTTCCTTTGAACCAGACCCGGCAAATGAGTCCCAGCTCAAGGCCGACCATGAGCACTCAGGGGTCTGGGGCTTTGGCCTTCTGCCTACTAAGTTACTACACCCTCCTGCGAACTCCACTCAAAAACCAGTTAGACAGCCAACTTCCAGCCCAGGAAAGCGGCCAGAGCAAGAGGCTTAGCCTGCTGTGCATCGACAAGGCACAATACGACCTCGTGACCTTCTCGGTCAGTGAAGGTTGCGCAGGCAGACACTTCGCCTGAGAACAACTCCAGCGGAAGGCCAAGATGCTTTCCTATGCGGATACCCTGTGCGGCTGGATATGCACACTACACGCACATGCACATTGCAACTTGCACACTTTCAACATGGTGGGCACCACATGGGCCTTGCAGAGCTTCTTGTGCCGTTTTGCGACCAAGCCCTGCTCCTTGTGGGTCTTGCATGCGGTGCCTGCTCCACAGAAAAGGCCAAACGAAGAAAGACGCTAAGGATGTGCATGACAGCTTCTGCTTAGATGCTTTTGGATTGGGGCTGGCAGCTATCCCGACTTCTGGGGGATCAGGTATGGCGAGGATTTGCCACAGCCGAGGCCGACAGCCGTCGATTTGCAAGAGGCCTTGCCTGTGCTTGAAGGCCCTTGTCACTCAGCAGAGATTTGGAAAAATGCCTACTCCTGGAGGAAATGAAAGTTACCCCGAAGTCTTGGAACGAATTCGCCCCAACACAGCCGCCCGCCCCAAACTGCCGACTCCTCGAAGGACTTGAAGGCCCAAAAGAGCCAAAAAGGGCGAAAAAGCGACCTCAACAGCCTCCTCAATGCTCTTTGCTGCGAGGCGAAAGGGGCGGAAGGGGAGAGGCACAGAGGGAGGCTGAAGGCGGGGTGGAGGGGGGGAGGCACAGGGGAGCTCCCCAACGAGGCCCTCTCACAGTCAGACCCCACCAAAAAAGGAGAAGCAAAGAGCACACAGGGCAAAGCTCTGAGCGAAACTTGCAACAAAACGCAGTCAAGCACCCCTGATGTCTTGCAACAGCTGCGCAACTGGGCACCCGCACTTCGCTGGAAGCAATCGCCTTTCGTGGTCCACGACCAGCACAGAGAGGATGGATCCCGGAAGTCGTACAGGTACCAAGCCCCGCAGTGGTTGAACCTGGACTGGACTGGGTGCAAAGCAGTTCAGGGAAAGACCACCCTTTGACCATCCTTTGACCGTCCTTTCAGCTTATTGGCATGAGGACCCAGCATGAAGTTCGCCAGCGCCTTTCTCACGTGCGGGGTGTCGGTGTCGAAGCACGCCTTGGCATCTGGTCCTGCAGGAAAGGAAAGATTGCCAAGCCGGAGTCGACCAGGCAACGGAGATATGGAGATTTCAACGGGCACCGTCCTCTGTTCACCTTGTTGACAATCAGGCTTTTGCCTGCTCCCGATTGCAGGCTTGCAGCTTTCCAAGTCATGCATGACTAGCGGCTCAGCCACGCTGCAATAGGAGAGCGTGACGTCTTTGGTCAACTCGGACTGAACAGGTGTGCAGTCTGCCTCCGGAACAGTACGAGCAGGACTTTTTTGAGATGCAGCTCCTCATCCCATCCACTACACCGTTGCTCCGTCCGTTCCCCCCTGCACAGATGCCTGGCTGCTCTCGTTTACCCAACTCTTTATCTTCGCCGCGTCGGCGCTCAGAATGGCAGCTGACAGCAAAAATGCCTGCAAGCTGCGCAGGGCTCGCTCCAGCTCTATGTTCTCGACACTGCTGGATACTTACAAGTGTTTTTTTGCACATGCCACCGTGAGTTTTGGGCCTTCATTCGCTTCATTGGATGGAGATCACCTGGGCAATGACACTACACCCGAATATGCTATCGTTAATGGTCTCGAATATGGTCTCGAACCAAAGGCTCGAGACTCAACCAAGGGCACCAAGCTCTGGGAGAGCCTTGACACGATGCTGGCAAGCAGCCGGTGTGGTAGGGGCCCTGGTAGCCCAACGTTTTAACTCGAGCCCAAAAGGTTCGGATCAACTGGAAGTCAACAAAAGCATCTAAGGCAAACGAACCTAGCCATTCACTAGGCGGAGTGATGCGACGGAACGGGCATTTCCGTACGTGCTCAGCATTTTTTATCCTGAAGCCGTGTGAAGCTCAGTGACAGAAGCTCCCCTCCTTTCAGCAACCCCGAAACGGGCGCCTGAACCCTGAACCTCAAGTCCAGCGTGAAACTTGCCACTAAACTTGCTTGCTGCCTAGTGCAGCCACAGAGAAAACTTTCCCACGCCACCCACAGTGGCTGGGGCTGCAGCCCCATCAGCGGTCACATGCAGTCACATCTGTGACCGTGCGTCGCTGGTCGCTGCCGGACAAAAATCCCTTGAACTTCTCGGCCGCCTGCATCCGTGAGTCTCCGCAGATCTCTGTGCACACCTGGGGTCGTCCCATGTCGTCCCACCGTCCAGCCGACTCCGGAGCCGACTCCGGAGCCTCTCATTCTCCGTACGGAAGCCTGGGTCTTGGGATGGCTTGGAATCGAAAACGATGGTGCACTACAGCCACTCGGGCTCCCACGCAGCCAACCTCTGAAGGTACCGACGAAATGCGGGCGTCCTGACTTCCTTGGTCAGGGCAGAACAGTTCTGAGAGGATGAGAAGACATGCACAACTGACCATCTTGACAAATCTTGACAAGACGTGCTCAGCCAGTCACATTGCAACGTCGTCCATCCGGGTGACGTCTAGAAGCCAGCACCTGCAGCAGCGTCTTCATCTGCGCAACTACCCGTCTCCAGATGGCGCAGACCAGAATGCCAATCTAAGATCTCGGACCCTCCAAAGGTTCTGGCCATCCTGCCACCGACGAGTGTAGAGATCATGGCTTGACACACATGCAAACAAACACTTTAGCGTTTCCGGCCTGTACCATTTCCAGGAAGGGTCGCCGGCGAAGTCTTGCAAAAGCTTGCCCCATGACCTTCTTCGTGCATTGCATCGCTTCCTGCACCCAGGGGTTTGATTACTAGGATCCCTAAAATAAAGGTAAAACCTAGACATGCACTCACAATTCTGCCTCAGAAACACCTACTTCACATAGCAGTTTGGGGCGTCTGTGCCTGGCACCGCTTCCCAGACCACCGGACGCCACAGGAACGTCGAAGGCGACGTGCGGGCCCAGCAAGGCGGCTGCAAGGAAAGCTAAACCAGAGCAAAGCCAGGAGTCATTGAATCTTTTCTCTCATTTCTTGGCCACTGACATGATCTGACATGCTTGATGACCCCTTGTGTGGCACCACTGTTGTGCCTTCTGAATGTGGAGAGCGCCGCACTGCGCCGAGCAGCAGCACGAAGCACGGAGGCCACCAAGCAGCCCCAGCCCGCATGAGGTGCCCTCGTGGGGTTTCACAGAACGTCTCCATGATATCAACCCTAAACCCCAAAACCCCTGTTTCGCGCTTCTTATGTTGCTGAAAGAGTGGCCTCTGCCATTCCCAGGCCGTCAACAAGAAGCGTGTCTCGCTTGTCCAAACCCTCTGCAGGCTGGTGACAAAGTGAGCCCACGGCGCCCAGAGAAGCCTTCCAGCAACGAATTAGGCACAAGCATACTACCAGGCTCTTGTCGACGGAAGCTGACAAGAAGCTGCTGCAAGCATCTGCAAGTCTGACCAATCTGCCTGTAAAGCTTGAAGGCCACCGCCAGAGTCCCACACGTCTCTGTATCCCAGATACCTTCACCGAGGCGTACAAGCGGGTCGGCGCTGTCGTACATGCTGGTCATGAACAGCCCTGGCAGCATGGACGGACACAGACAAATCACACTGCGAAAGCAATTGCTTCAACGATCTTCGAGATTGCTTCATGCTTATGCAAAGACTCGAATGTAAGCGACCAATACACTGGCACGAATCACGCATCCACGTGATGGCCAGATAAGTGCATCTGAAAAACAGTTCGGGCCTTGAAGGTTCCAGAAATGCTCGTGTGGAACTAAGCCGCTGAAGCAGTCAAAGGCAGCCTTCTTCCAGCGCATCCTTCCTCAGCAGCCCGGATGTGAAGTGAGGCATTCACGCAGACCCGTGCGGAGTCCCCCCTCCCTTCCATTCGGTGAGGTCGGGAAGAAAGAATAAAGGACGAAGTGCTATTGCCTATCGCCGTGTAAGCTGAAGGCATCTGAGGGCGAGGCCCGAAGAGCCCGAAGAGAGCTTTGCCTGCACTGCGACTTCCGAGGATGGGGGCTCTGGGAGCTCGCACTCGTCGTACCCGTGGATACCTGCAAACGCCATCGCACAAGCTATCTTATGCATTCTAGGCTACCCATCATAAGGCCATCAGGCCATCTCAAGCCATCATCAAGAGAGCCATTCTATGATGAGGGGCTGGTGGTTGTCAGCAAGCATTCCGCTTCCTCAACGCCGGAGGACTTCGGATTCCAGCGCCGGAAGACCCCAGCGCAATGCCCCCGTATCCAGATGCGCTTGCTATCCAGGCACCTGGCGGCGCTTCTTCCCCTCTCTCGCGGTTGGAACTTTATCGATCTGAGTCGAACTGGTGCACGCAAAAACTTACCCATGACTCCTATGACTCCTATGACTCCCATGACTCCCATGACTCCCTTGACTCCCCCGGCCCGAAGGTCAGCGCCGGCGCGCAGAGGTGGCTCGGAGGCACCGGCTCCACGTGGCAGCTTGCGGGCTGCAAGGCACCGGTGCGCCGGAAGGCCAGGAGACTGTGGCGCAAGTAGGCCCTGAGGCCAATGCCTCCCATGACACAGTTGCGCAAAGTAGTTCCACTAGTAACCGGCTATATCCGCTCTCTTCGCAGCATCCCGGAGTCCCGGAGGCCTGCAAAGAGCCGGAGGTGGTCCTCCAGCTCCCGGTCCCGTGTGAAGCCCAGCGCCTCGATCTCCTCAACGGGCGGCCTCAAGCTTGCAAAACACACGGAAGAGAAAGGCCCTGAAAACTCTCGTGCGCTCTCCACGTGCACTCCACGCGCTTTGTACAGACCGTGCCCGCCTCTTCAAGGGATCCCAGCTCAGAATGAGTCCTCGGCTTGAAGAACTCAGGGTGCACGACCCATCGCGCAAACCCCGGCTTTGTCGAGATGCCCTGGCCAGCCAGTCTCCGCAAGTTCTGAAGGAAGGTGGCCTTCCGAACCAGACCCAGCGCACGCGCTGAATGCGCAGAATGCAATGTGCACCCTGGAAGCCTGAGACTGGGCAGCGATGTGCTCACCCACGTCCAAGGAGATCACCCAGTCCATAGTCGCATCACCTTCATCAACCTGAGCTCAGGAAAATCGCTCTGAAATTGAAACTATTGCTTTTCTTCGTTTTCGTGGTTCGCCCAGTTGCTTTACCTTGCAATTACCTTGTAAATGGCTCACTGCAGGCAAGTTGCCGGAACCAGAACTCCGGGGCCGTTCTTGAAGGGAGTCTGGACCTGAGCCTCCAAAGCACAGCGGACCGGTGTTTGCTTGTGTCGGTTGGGGGGGCCTTGGACGCTTGACGTCTATTCTGGTCTTTTGTTCGTGTACGTTGTCTTGTCATTACAACGCTCCAACTCATCACGCCCGTGTCCATCGAGTCAACATGCACCCGTCAAGAATGTCGCGCTTCCATTCACCGCACCCGCGCCGTTCGCGTCTCCACTTCTTCCGCACCCTCCGCAAGCCGCAAACCCCCTAACCCCTTAAGCCAGCTCAAAGTACAACTCCTCAGTGCACGCGTCGCACGCAAGAAGGGATGCTCAAGCGTGCACTTTGCCGTTTACCCTGGATTGAATGCCAGTGATGAAACTGGCTGCTGCCTAGCTAATCGTCAAGCGGGCGGCCTCCTCAACTGATGGAACCGTCTGATACTTCTCGTACAGCCAAACCTCACAGAGCCCGCAAGACGTCTCAAAAGCAGACCGAAGCCGGTAGAGAACCGAGAACAGCCAGCCTCGTCGCTTCTTCCCCAAGCCTCTCTGTTCGGAAGCTTCCATTTCAGCAGACCCTTGGTGTCGAAGCCAACGCAAGCCAGCTGACCACAGCAGCGGCCAGCGATATAGTTGATCCAGTAGACCCAGGCTGCAGGGATTCTGAGTCTCTGAGTCTCTTCAATGTGTCACATAAGGGAACGAGATGGAAACACGGCTTATCAAGCATCCCTCCTGCCTAGTGGATTGTCCTGGAGCTGATTTCTGGGGTCCATGTCAACAACTTTGCCAGCAGACTGCCCCGCATCCTCGAACTCAAAGCCGCGAGCCTCCGCATCAACTGCTCTCAACGTTTGCCCCAACATCACCATGCGAATCCCAGTCCGCGGAACTCGATTTCGGCCAGGAGGCGTGTCTGTAAGGGTGCGGGCGAAAATTCTCAGCTGCCAGATGGTTGCCAACGCCATGCCCAGACAAGAATCGTTCTTCCATCGAAAAGTATAACATCGTACGATGTTCAGAGCTTGGGGTCTACAGGACTGCACCGCTGCAAACGACCCTGCAACAGCAGTCAAGCGGCACAGCGCGGGTGTGCCGTGCTGATGGTGAAGCTCAGGTTGTCAGTGATGTCGGCGACCTAAATGTCGCGAGTTGGCTCTCGTTTGCTTGATCTACTTGGCGTGACAGCCTGGCAGATCACTCCCTACTTAGCCGCATCCCTTCTTGATGTTTCATCGGGACACCACGCCATACTCGTTCAGCGTGGCTGTCAAGAGCGGGTTGGCATCCAACCCGACAGCCAGATGGCCCCAGCTGCGAAGCTCTCCCACCTCAAGCAACATCCAGCAACCGATGCGAAAATCGGAAGTCACTTCAGACATCAAGTTCTTTGCACGTCCGCCCAAAAAGCAGCCCACCAGCGAGCCCCGGCCACAGCCAAGATCCACAATCTGCGAAGCAGTTGTGGCACAAATACAGGCTACAGCTCTGCGTGCACATGACCGCAAACACCTTTGGCGGTCTTCCCAGGACATGCTGCTCCGCGTGAAAGACATCGACGAGCTTGGCAGCGAGGCCCTGGCAAGAGGAGATGAGAAGAGAAACCGATCTGACGCAGCAAATGGCAGATTCACACTCATACATACAGAAGCAGCATCACCGGCATCACTACGACCAGATGATGTGTGTTTTCACGCAGAAATGTGTTGCGACATGTTGTGAAACTGCGACATGTTGCGACACCGGAAGATGAGAACAAGCGCAGCGAAGCTGTAGTGGAGCTCTCACTTCACATGACAAGGAAAGAACAGGCGGATGAACGAGAATAAAGAGAAGATGCAGCACAGCTTTAAGGAACCTCAGACGAAAACAACTCGGGATACAACCTCCTGTGCTGTCGCACAACTAGATACAGAGTTCGTATGGGTTCCTCAACCTCTTTGACGTATTTTGACATGGGACCTCGGAAAATATGCACCAATGGCAACAGAACAGCTTGGTTGGGCAGACAAAAGTGAAGATGATGCTAAGCGCATGACGAAGATAAAGAAACTGTCCGTGTGGAGCCAGCTTGGTATTGTGTGTGTGTGTATTGCTGTTGGTTGTTCATGTTTGCGTCCGTGTGGGTTTTGTTCTGATGCGTTTCCCGGGTTTCGGGTTTAGGGAGTTAGGCACTATAGGATTTTAGGGTATAGAAATTCTCTTTTTTCCTAATTAACCCAGACAAGCACTCATACGGTACCCCAAATTGTCCAGCCTTGGTATTTGAAGGCTTTCATGGGAGCACGAACAGAAAGTGGGACAAAGTATCTTGGCGCCAGACAGGATCATGCTCATAGTGCCGAGGGAACGTCTGCTCAGGAAGCACCTTTGCTGCGTGCCCGGAAGTTGGGAGACTTGGAGGGATTGGAGCATCTGAGCGCGAGGCCTCCATTCCCTTCAGGTGCAAATGGCGCCACTTGCTCAGGTCATCGGGATATGCTCCAGGTGCAGCCTACAGGCGCAACTCGCCAATTGCAACATTCTCGGTGCTCTGAGGTGTGCTGAGCAGCGCAAGATCACCTCAGTGCAGTAGTCTTCCATGGGCTGCTGGCCACATTGACGAAGCCGGACCTCAGACAAGTGCGTCGAAACCACTGACCAATAGGCTTGCAAATTGGGAAAGCTGACTTCTCTCCCGTCATCGAAGCCAGCATTTTGCTTCATGCGCATGCATGGCTTGGAGACAGGTCCCAGGTGTCGCAAGCATGACGAAACTTTTCTGTGGAGGCAAAACGCGGAAATTGGCAGAGCAGAGCATACTGTTATGTTTAGGGAGGTATCGCACAGATTGCACCCGGCAAGGTCCAATTTAATGATATGAGGATCACACACTTAGATCATGCAACCTACCCACACACAGACTTTCTGGACCAAGGAGAGCACGAAGCAGACGCTTCGAGTGTACCGTACAGGAACTTGAAGACCACCCAGATACCTGGACGCCGAACAGGTGAGGCAAAAGGCCCCTCGCTCTCAGCTTCACTCGTTGGCACTTCTGATTATCCTCTGCAAGCCCTGTCGAACAGCGTTCACGTCAGAGAGACACAAGTTCTCACAGTTGCACTAATTTGACGCAAAGCAGCTTTTCCAGAATGAGCTCGATGTAGTTGCCTTCGAGCCGGGCACCGAGCAAACCAGGAGGCTCCAAAACAAGACTGAAACTGAGGGTGCGACAGTCGTGCGCCCAATACCTTCTCAAAACCTCATACAACTCAATCATACACCAGCCCCTCACTTGAAACTCATACCCCTTCGAGATGAGAAGGTGCTACTCAACAGTTCCGCACTTTCCCCATGCTCTGCCCCTCTTCTGCCTTGTCACCCTGTGGAAAATCGTACTCGGGCCAATTCCTCAAAATTTTCAGAAGCACTCGGATCGGCAATGAGCCCACACCTCTGCAACGCGCGTCCTCGGCTCCAGCACATAATGGTAGAAGTCAAAAAAGCGCAGCATCAACGACGACCTCGGCAGCACTTATGGAAGACAAGAGCTAACAATAGCTAACAGGCTCAGCCCTGTCTCTCTCTTCCTCGAGCATTTCCGACTGATGGAAGTCTGAGGCAGCCGCGGGCCAGCTGCAAAGTGGTCACAGTACGCCTCATGCGCTCAAGCACGCTCCTTCCAACATACTTGCAAGCCAGCCCTGCCTGCCATTGACATATAGGCATCCAGTTGAACAGGAGCATGCCAGGACCTGAGGTGAGTTCAACCAATGGAGCTGTGACACCATGCAAACCAAGGAAACTCATGACCAATAAGCGCGCCTTGAGCATGCAGTTCTGCTTGCTGTGATGGAAAGCGGTGCCAAAGAACATCCGCTCTCACACGCAGCCACCACCGATACCTGTGATGCAAACTGATGCATTCACAGGCTTGAAGATTTGGATTTTGATCCATCTCATTCCAAACACTTTCTACAGCAGCCGCGGCACACGACACGGAAATATGAACATCAGCTACTCCCGGTCTGGGCTTCCAACGAAATGCCGGCCTCAGTAGCCGACTTCCATCACACCCTGGTTGATGGTTGCACTTCATTACACCCACTGAAATATTCTTCGTGATACCCGAACTGCCCAGCACGGCACCTGCAATCGCTGCCTCAAGATGTTCCCGCAGTAGCTCACTAGCCTGATTGTTCAAAATAAAATGAGGGCTTCACCTGCAAGAAATCTAGCAATGATGTATGCCATTCCGCACCTGAGTTGTAGGATGATCTTTTCGCGATCCTCAGCTGTCATCACAAAACAGTTTGTAATGGTTCATCCGGTTGTCCAGATTCATGAAGAAGATCAACGCGTTACACTGCCTAGTTGTGCATCAACGCGCAGCTGGGACGCTGACCCAACATAGCCTGAAGTGAGTGCAAACCGAAAGTTTTTGCGTCGAAAACTGACGCTAAAAAACTTGGCTTTCGACCCTGGTCCTTCCTTCAGCCACTTCTGTTCAGCAGCTGAAAATGGTCGGTCCTCATTCGTTGCTCGCTCACGTGCAAGTTCGGGCAATGTGCCAATGCAGTGTGCTGGGCGCACGAATCAGATCTCAAAGCAGCAGAGACATCGGCCGGAATGCAATGTATCTCGGTTGCATTCGGCAACAGACCTCAGACGTGTCAAGCAAATTTCAAACACAACGAAACCCGTCACGTCATTGCCTGTTGACACAAGTAAAGTTTCCAGGCCCATGCTCGCAGCCCTGTGGCAGTCCTCAAGAACGAACTTGGTGCATGACTTGTTTATTGAATTGCATGGCCGCTCGTGGCTTACGGAACGGCCAACCTAACTTGGCATGTATGATAACATTGATGTTCTTTCAGCTCTATGCATGCTGTCCTCACCATCAGGGACTACTACGAACAAGTCGGCTGCTGGCTTGCCAAAGGCAGGCAACACCTCGTGCACGGCGACATCACGCATTGACACGCAAAAGCTTATGGATGTTTACGCCGATCAAGAGCCGAGCTCGATGAAGCAGGAACCATAGTTCATGGGGAGAGCAAACCTGAAGGTACTTCCTGTTGCGAACATAAACATACTTGCGAAACGGGATCAATTCTGACTCCGTGCCAACCTTGCAACGACAACACATTGAGAGGCAGACTCCGCGAAACTGTCCGCTGACACAGACCGCTGCCGCAGCTGCATCGCAACAAAGCTGCTGATATGCAAAACACAGCTTTTACAGGCATGAAACATGAGATTTCACTTGCAATGGTACTCATCGCTGCAATATTCTCGGATTCCGACGCGCCTGACCGCATGTGCTTTAGCAAAACACGCGGTGGCCATGGCTGTATTGCGTCTTTGCTGGGCTTGCTGAATTGATGGACATACACCGACCAAGTTTGGTCTGCAAGTTGCGAATATGAGACATGCTGTGAAACTGGAGCATACGCAGCACCGGCATGTAACCGACTTTCAAAGCTGCTTGTTTAACAAGCACTTTTACGTTTTCCCTTGTATGTGTTCGTGCTACTCTTTTTCCCTTTTGTACAAAGCTGGGTATGGATACACGAATAAATACTTCTTCGTCTGCAGCACAAACTGCCTTTAGTAATCTTGTTTTCCATGAGTCGGGTGTGGGGCTTAAGAATGTCAAGGGCTTACATGCTCGGCCAACACGTTACACAAAGAGGCAAGGGAGCCCCACAGCGGCTAAGCTTCTGCCCCGGCCGGTGGTGTTTGTTTTTTTGCTTAGCCCTGGCCGAAAAAGACAGCGATAGCTAAGCAAAAAGTACTACGAATTTGATTCACAGCCACGGTTAAGCCAAAAACACGCTTCCGCCACCATGATTGTCTTTGGGGGGAGGAGGGTGGTGGGCGGGTGGGGTGGGGGAGAGGAGGCAATTGCGGTCATATTTACGGCGACCATGACCAAGCCACGCATCTCTTCACGTCTTGAGACCTTACATCTGGGCCGTTCTCTCCCAAAAGCCCTAATTAAAAATAGTAAATTGTAAGTTAACGCACGAATTTACTACATTTAATGGGCGTTTGGGGCCCTTCTTTCTAATACTAATTCCAAGCGTGATAAAAGACCTTGGAATTAGTACTAGAATGAAGAGGCGAACGTAACCACCATCAGGAAGACTCATGAAAACTACCTCATTTTCTAGGTCTGTTGGTACGGTCTCTATCTCTAGCTCCTGTAAATCCAAGCGAGTGAAAGAAATGAACGAACGCGTGAATTAAAATAGGACGTGAACGAAATGGGCGCTCTTTGTATTCTCTTTTTATGCGCCCCTTAAACAATGTTATCTTCTTTCAACTAATCTCAACAGATACAAGTGAATGAAATGAACGCGTGATCTGTGAATTAGCGAAAGAAAGAAGATAATAGGGGAAAAAGGGGGTCATAAAGGAGAACACGAACCATAACATTATTATTACTATAATGAAACGGTTGAACCAGCCTAAAACCCTAGAAATCACCCAAAGCTATGCAATGTCAAGACCACTAACCCGAACTCGGCGTTTTTCTGAACCGCCGAACAAAAGCCAATTATAGCCCGACCCACAGACCGAAATTAACGAATAAAGCTACCGAAGCTAAAAGATCTACTACTCTGAAAAGGAACAGCAAAGACGACAAAGACCTAAAACTAAAGGAGATACTGGTACAACGCTGCAGGCGTATGTGGCCGTGCGCGCACGTTTGGAGAAGAGAGGAAAGCATTGTAAATACCGATACAATCGATAGTTGAAGCAAGCATCACACGCGCGTAAAAACATACAATTTTTCTCTAAGTTCGGCAGACGTCTCACGTCTTGTTTTTCAGAAGAGCCAAGCGTGGTCGTGCTCGTACTGTCCGAAGTGCTTTGGATCGGCTCCGACCTGCCCGGAGCGATCCAAACGGTATGTGCGCAGTGCTTCAAGCACAGCCTTGAGGCCCGGCGCATGCATCAGGTGGCGTGTAGCCAGGATGTGCACGTGTGCCAGGCGAGGTGACATGCGGCCTAATGCGTTGATGCGTCTCAACTGGTTTTTTCCCTGCCCTATGATGGCTTCACACCATCGTGCGGGCATGGATGCTCTGGCCAATCGCACGCACTGGTAACACGGACGTAATCATCGTGCGGGCATGGATGCTCTGGCCAATCGCACGGACGCGTAACACGGACGTAATCATCGTGCGGGCATGGATGCTCTGGCCAATCGCACGCACTGGTAACACGGACGTAATCATCGTGCGGGCATGGATGCTCTGGCCAATCGCACGGACGCGTAACACGGACGTAATCATCGTGCGGGCATGGATGCTCTGGCCAATCGCACGGACGCGTAACACGGACGTAATCATCGTGCGGGCACGGATGCTCTGGCCAATCGCACGCACTGGTAACACGGACGTAATCATCGTGCGGGCATGGATGCTCTGGCCAATCGCACGGACGCGTAACACGGACGTAATCATCGTGCGGGCATGGATGCTCTGGCCAATCGCACGCACTGGTAACCCGGACGTAATCATCGTGCGGGCATGGATGCTCTGGCCAATCGCACGCACTGGTAACACGGACGTAATCATCGTGCGGGCATGGATGCTCTGGCCAATCGCACGCACTGGTAACACGGACGTAATCATCGTGCGGGCATGGATGCTCTGGCCAATCGCACGCACTGGTAACACGGACGTAATCATCGTGCGGGCATGGATGCTCTGGCCAATCGCACGCACTGGTAACACGGACGTAATCATCGTGCGGGCATGGATGCTCTGGCCAATCGCACGCACTGGTAACACGGACGTAATCATCGTGCGGGCATGGATGCTCTGGCCAATCGCACGCACTGGTAACACGGACGTAATCATCGTGCGGGCATGGCCACGGAGGTGTTCGGCGTGTAACACGAGGAAAACACTGCAAATACCGATGTTTCCGGCGTGCAACACGCGCGAAACACTGTAAAGACCGATGTTTTGGGCCTGTCCCAAAAGGCGAAAAGCGGAGGCAGCGAGGGTTTCGGCATGTGACCTTAAGGAAACACTGTAAATACCGAGGAAATCGGCATGTCGGTTTTGCGCGGTGACATGCGTCTGGAGGGTGCAACAAACAAGTAACCAAACCCCGGCAAATTGAAGATCTCCTCACTGCCCTGTTCATTGCGTTACACCTTTCCCAATATTATAAGCGTACCTTCGCTGTCATGGAATGTTCACCTCCATCATTCGGAATTACTACGGTGTGAAGTTGCGAAGAAATCCCCGAATAAAATATGAACGAAGTCTCAGAGTTGGAGTCTTTGAGGCAGATCAACAATATGAAAAAGAGCTTCAAGTTCCAGAATACGGTTGTTGTGGGGCGGTCACTGCGTTCACGTGAAATACAATTTACGAAGGAGTGAAGGGTGAGTGATCAATTGAACGCAGGAAAGACACCTTTTTTGAAAGCGGTTGCCCCTGTACTGCTTCAGCAGCACAGTAGACAAGTCTTTGCTCACAAGGTGAAACACTACCAAACAAACGAAGCAACCAAAAAGGCCCCGAACCGCAGCAAACCAGACCTTTTCGAAGGAAACAAGACCCTCCTGCTGAGAACTCGATGAAAAAAGTAGCAGCGAACGCAGGAAAGACACCAACTAAGATTAAACGGGCCAGTAAAAACAAAAGACCTGCGTAAAAAACATTTTGACAATACACTGCATCAGGAACAAAGTAGCGCATGAATATTAATTGGGCTTGTGGCATCTCAAAGTGCTGAGCGAACGGTGTATGAGAGATATGAGGTTAAGACTCGGACTGATGTGGCGTCACCGAAAGGCCATCTTCTCAATCTATTTGGTGTCGAACAGGCCAGTTCTTCCCTGCCCAACACCCATCAGTGTTTTCGAAACTGCGATGTTTTTCATGAACTTGCGCAGCTCCTCAACCCGAAGGCAATTGCTCCGCAAACACATACAAATCGCAGAGCTACTGGTAGAAAGCACTTGTTCAAGAACCAACGCAATTTATCCTCTCGCTTGTCCACCAAAGTAGAAAGCAAGCCCATGCATGATCATACCTTGTCGCGTCACGCAAGGACAGTTCACGCCCATCGCACAAAAGTAGAATTTTCCTTCAGCTTCTTGCAGACAACTGAGTTCTTGCATGAAGACGATCTCATCGGCAATTTGGCATGGCAGGTCGAGTTTTGCGCTGATAATCGCATTAGACATTAAAAAACAATGCTGCTCCGCCAACACAGCTCAGAACCGTGGAGTTGTAGAACTCCACCCGTGACATTCCAGCTCCAGCTGTTGTAGTAGTAGTTATTAGTAGTAGTGGTAGTAGTAGTAGTAGTAGTAGCAGTAGTAGTAGTAGTAGTCGTACTAGTAGTAGTCGTACTGGTACTAGTACCAGTACCAGTACTAGTACTAGTTCTAGTTCTAGTTCTAGCACTAGTACTAGTACCAGTACTAGTACTAGTACTGGTACTAGTACTACGGTGAATGGACAAAATCGCGCATGACCCGGTACAAGACGAGCACGGCACCTTAAGCGGCGCAACACCCCTTTCAATTTTAATGTTGACAACACGCGTGGCTGATGCAGGATTTGGGTCATTCGTGCACATGCCTTTTCCACCTGTTCTGGGAAACCAATATTACGATTCAGGGTGTGGAAGGGATGGCCTGCGGTAGAAAACTGATGCAGGATTTCGTCCATCAACAGTAGTACTAGTAGCAGCAGCAGCAGGAGCAGCAGCAGCAGCAGCAGCAGCAGCAGCAGCAGCAGCAGTAGTAGTAGTCGTCGTAGTAGTAGTAGTAGTGATAGTAGTGATAGTAGTAGTAGTAGTAGTAGTAGTAGTAGTAGTTGTTGTTGTTGTTGTTGCTGCTGCTGTCGTCGTCGTCGTAGTAGTAGTAGTAGTCGTCGTAGCCGTCGTGGTCATCGTAGTAGTAGTAGTAGTAGTAGTAGTAGTAGCAGTAGTAGTAGTAG